AAAGATGTTACTGAGGCATATGTCCTTAAATCTTTTTTTTTTTTTTTTTAATTTTTTTTTTATAGAGGCATGTTTTATTTATTTATTTGTTTGTTTGTTTATACATGCACTGGGTACAGTCAGAAGCGCGGGAGGGTGAGAGAATTCACCAGAGCCAGAGCGGGGAGCAGAGCAGGCAGAAGAACCGAAGTACACTGCTGAGGGGAGCAGCGGGCGGCAGAGGAGGTCTGCGCGCCATGTAGGACCCTCCTCCGCTGGCCGGGGAGCAGCTGGGGATCGAACCGGCACCCCAGAGGCTGCGGGCAGCTTCGCAACCCAGCGCTCAACCGCTGTACCACCGGGGAGGCCCCCTAGAAAATTTTAAATAAGACATGTAACTCACATTTGTAACTTCCATTATTTTTCTATAGGCTAGTGCTATGTAGAACATTTCTGTCCTGAGAATAATCCATCTTAACAATACTGGTCATATAAAATTAATTATAGGGCCTCCCCGGTGGCGCAGCAGTTGAGTGCTGGGTTGCGAGGCTGTCCGCAGCCTCTGCAGCACCGGTTCGATCCCCGGCTGCTCCCTTCAGCAGTGTACTTCAGTCCTTCTGCCTGTTCTGCTCCCCGCTCTGGCTCTGGTGAATTCTCTCGCCCTCCCGCACTTCTGACTGTACCCAGTGCTTGTATAAATAAAATATAAATAAATAAATCTTCAAAAAAAACTTTATAATAAAAAAATAAAATTATAGTTAGGGTCATGTTTAAGGTAGTCTTTATGAGAAACATAAATGAGATCTTGTATTAAAAATGTTAGCACACTGATGATGCTGAAACATTTTTTACTTTTAGGCAAATAATAAAGCACTGTACAGATATTCCTTAACCCCCTCACCTTCTGCAGTCTCATTTTGGTTTTTGTCCCCATTGTTAAGGAACATTTAGTTAGAGACCTTTGCATTGAACAGTATATTTTTCTCCTGGTTGTTGAGAACAAGTAATTTATGAAAGTAGATAATGGTAGTACAAATCCGGCTGACATACCTGCAGCCTACAGTTTTTCCATCAGTCTTGGTTTTGTTCCATGTAGATGATGGCATTTACTGAATCTATCTGGCTTTTGCCCTCAAAGAGCTTTCACAAACCAGCTGGGGAAATGAATTATTTTTTGAGAAATTTTTAAGTGCAAAATATTACAGTTATTTTTCAGCAAACACATTCAGAGAAAAATAATGGATACAGACCTTCAGAAGGCTTTGTTGTTCTAAGAACGAGCTGGATCCTAGAGAGGTGATTAGGACAAAGTATAGAGCAAGGGGAAGGAGATGGCTGTGGGGACAGCTGTGATTCTTGTGAAGACCAACAGGTTGACTGAAGGGAAAACTGTGCTACAGAATCACACAGGGAAATGTGACTAGGTTGTCTAGGGCCAGATACGGGGGGCCTTGAAAGCCAGAGGGGTATTATGTGTATTATGTATGTTTCCCTTTTGCAAAGATAGAGGAATTAAATTCTTTGTGAAATATCCCCCACTCCCCGCCTCCACCAGGTATCATTAGTGGTCTGACATTATTTTGTCAGCATCTTTGACTTGTTCCATCAATGGAGCACCTGATACCATTTTTATTCCTTTTTCTAAACACTTTCGTTTATTTATGTTTTCCACCACTATCCATTATGCTGTTTTGATCCTTTCTCCCTCACCCACCTTCTTAACCTCAGAAATCCCCTTTGTTTTTTAATACCCACTAATATTTTATGTAAGTATTTTGCTTGGTCAAATCATCCACTAAATGTTCGATATTTGTCTTTGTCATTTGGACTGACTTTGCTATAATTTCTTCCACCTTCATCCATTTTACTCTAAATTGCTATATTTTGTCTTTCCTTGTGGCTGAATGGTATTTCATTGTGTGGATATACCACATCTTAATCTGATCCTCTTTTAGTGGACACTTAGGTGGACTCTAGGATCCTAGCTTTTGTACATAATGCTGCCATAAACATTGTAGAGATCATAATATTTTGAGTTTCTGGTTTTATGTTTTTTGGATAGATGCCCAAGAGTGAGATTGCTGGATCATAGAGTATTTCCCTTTTTAGTCTTTTAAAGTAAATCCAGATTGCTTTCCAAAATGGTTGCCAGGGGCCTTGTTGGTGTGTAGAGATTAAGTCTCAGTTCTATCAAGCTATCGCCAGCCACTGCCACATGAGTTCAATCCCTTGCCAGGGAGCTCACCCACATGGCACAGCAGACCTCTGCTCCCCTCAGCAGTGTATTTCAGTAGATCCGCCTGTTCTGCTCCCCACTTCGTCTCTGGTGAATCCTCTCATCCGCTGCACCTCTGGCCTATAACCCAGCTCTTGTATGCATAAATAAAAAGAAATATTTATTTATTTGTTTGTTTGTTTTATTTATGCAAGCACTGGGTACAGTCAGAAGCGCGGGAGGGTGAGAGAATTCACCAGAGCCAGAGCGGGGAGCAGAGCAGAGGGATGAGGCAGGAGAGGTCTGCGCGCCATGTGGTTCGAACTGGCGCTGCAAAGGCTACGGGAAGCTTCGCAACCCAGCGCTCAACCGCTGCACCACCAGGGGAGGCCCAAGAAATCTTTTTTTTAAAAAATGGTTGCCACTAGCTTACATTCCTAATAAAATGAGTAAAGTCAATTTCCCTTGTCCAGAAAGCATACATGATTTCCCATTGCCAACCATATTAATACAGTCTTTGTATTTTGTAATTCAAAACCTTTCAAACTATAGCTGCAACCAGTACATCTTCTATTTCTTTCTACCCTTTCCTGTGCTTTAATTCAACCCTTTATTCTTTCTCATGACCAATTCTCTCATGTTATTCTACCTGAGGATCTAACCTCTTCCCCTGCAAAATATACATACTCCCTTTGAATGTCATGTCCATATTTCAGGGTTTCACTCAAATTTCATATCTGTGTAGCACCTTATCTCACACCTGGTTAGGTAGATTTCTTCAAACCTACCAAGTTTTACCTTGAGCTTTTGTATACCTATATCGTCCCTTATATTAGACAGTAGCTCCTAGAATGCAGGTCTAGCCTTGCCCATCTCACTAGTCTGTTGCCTTGAAGGTGGCCCTGACTCAAAAGGCTTTCTCTGACTGCTAGCATGCATACAGTGTTAATTGCCTGACAGAATGGAAGTATTGAAGAAATGTGTTTCTAACAGAAGAAGCAAAAACTTGCCTCAGACTAGAGCGAGATTACAGAACACTTCCAATACTAATTTTGAATGAACATACGTACTTCTGGGCTTGTTACGTCATCTTTGCTATGAACTCGATGATTATTCAGATCCATTTTACTCTTAGGTATCATGGTACTCTCAGTACTCATAAGACTTCAGATCCAGAAGCTATAAATTAGCCAATTTTTTTTCTCTTTTATATGTTGTTGACATATACCTGGCATAGTGCTAAAGAGTAAAAAGTACTTACACAGCTCCTTATCCTCCAAAAACTTAGGGTTTCAGAGAAGATACCAGGATGTCAAGTTGATAGTATGACACAGGAATAGTGTTATGTGACAGCTGCAGAAGAGCCTGGCTCCAAAAAAACCCATTATGACAGCACATTATCTTTAGTAGAGTTTAGCTTAAAAATAAGACCCCTTGCTAGTGTTTTGATAGATGTAGGAAATATATGTAAGATCTGAACTAGTTTTGTTAATTCTTTTTATTTATTTATTTGTTTGTTTTGTTTATACATGCACTGGGTACAGTCAGAAGCGCGGGAGGGTGAGAGAATTCACCAGAGCCAGAGCGGGGAGCAGAGCAGGCAGAAGGACCAAAGTACACTGCTGAGGGGAACAGCGGGTGGCAGGAGAGGTCTGCACGCCATGTGGGACCCTCCCCCGGTGGCCGGGGAGCAGCCGGGGATCGAACCGGCGCTGCAGAGGCTGCGGGCAGCTTCGCAACCCAGTGCTCAACCGCTGCGCCACCGGGGAGGCACAGTTTTGTTAATTCTTTATCATCAGATACCTCATCAGTTTGATTTAAATTTTTGGGTTTTTTTTAACCATTTGTTGCTTTGAATCAGGAGTCAAAGAAGATCCATACATTGTGATTAATTGCTGCCTCTCTTTTGTATAAATCAGTGCTTCAACCTCAGCACTATTGGTATTTCGGACCCAATAATTCTTTGTTGTAGGGGACTGACCTGTGCATAACTGGGTGTGTAGTAACTACTCTGACCTCTCCGCGCTCGATGCTGGCAGCATACCCTTCCCAGTAGTGACAGCCAGAAAATTGTGCCCAGAGTTTGCCAGATGACCATGGGGGCAGACACCTCAGTTTGAGAACCAGTGATATATAGGTTCTCCCCTTTCCTTCCCATTTTTTTCTCCTGGTGATTTATTTGTAAGCAGAACTGGGTAGTTAACCCTACAGGGTTTCTTTCTGTCTGAATTTCACTGATATCATCCATATGGAATAATTTAACATCCTCTGTCAGCAGTATTTGTTCATTGGTAGTTAAATCTAGAGACTTAGTTTCAGATTTTTTTTGTTTGTTTCATTTGAAAAGACTGCCTCATTGGTGCGGTTTTACTCTTCCATCAGGAGGCATGTACTGTCTGCTGGATCTTTTTGTAATTTTTTTTTTAAAGATTAATTTTTTCAAGAGCTGGGGTACAGGCCAGAGGCACGGGAGGGTGGGAGGATTTACCAGAGAGAGAGCAGAGAGCAGAACAGGCAGACTACCACAATACACTGCTGAGGGGAGTAATGGGTACGACAGTAGAGGTCTGCTGAGCCATGTGGGAATCTCCCTGGCTGGTCAGGAATCTAACCCACACTGCAGAGGCCACAGATAGCCTCAGAGCGCTGCACCCAACCTGCTGTGCCACCAGGGAGGCCCTCTTTTTATAACATTAACAACCGTTGTCTTTTCATTCGTCAATGGTCTTTTTTATTTTGAAGGGTATTGTGTATTTTTTCATATATACAAACTTTAAATAACAATCTGTGTTCTTCCTTGATAAAGGAAGGGGAAATGGAAGGAGAGGCGGTTGAAGCCATTGTGGAGGAATCCGAAACTTTCATTAAAGGAAAGGAGAGAAAGACTTACCAGAGACGTCGGGAAGGGGGCCAGGAAGAAGACGCTTGCCATCTACCCCAGAACCAGACTGATGGGGGTGAGGTGGTCCAGGATGTCAATAGCAGTGTGCAGATGGTAATGATGGAACAGCTGGATCCTACCCTTCTTCAGATGAAGACTGAAGTAATGGAGGGCACAGTTGCTCCAGAAGCAGAGGCTGCTGTGGACGATACCCAGATCATAACCTTGCAGGTGGTAAATATGGAGGAACAACCCATAAACATAGGAGAACTTCAACTTGTTCAAGTACCTGTTCCTGTGACTGTACCTGTTGCTACTACTTCAGTAGAAGAACTTCAGGGGGCTTATGAGAATGAAGTATCTAAAGAGGGCCTTGCAGAGAGCGAACCCATGATATGCCACACCTTACCTTTGCCTGAAGGATTTCAAGTGGTTAAAGTGGGCGCCAATGGAGAAGTGGAGACACTAGAGCAAGGGGAACTTCCACCTCAGGAAGATCCTACTTGGCAAAAAGACCCAGACTATCAGCCACCAGCCAAAAAAACAAAGAAAACCAAAAAGAGCAAACTGCGTTACACAGAAGAGGGCAAAGATGTAGATGTGTCTGTCTACGATTTTGAAGAAGAACAACAGGAGGGTCTGCTGTCAGAGGTTAATGCAGAGAAAGTGGTTGGTAACATGAAGCCTCCAAAACCAACAAAAATTAAAAAGAAAGGTAAAATGAGTTAATCCATTATTTTCTCAAAACCATTTTGAGAGAAAGCACATAATACAGTCCATTTGCAGGTCATTTTATATTATTACTATTTTTTTTTTTTTTTTTAAGATCATGGTGTTACCAGTCTTTTTAACTAGTCAAAAGAAGATTTTCCAGATTGAGTACTTTTTTTGTCTTACATTGTCATTTGTTTTTGTACAATATTTGATTTCACCCCTTGTGTAGTCCCCATAAATCTCCCACCACCACATCACCTGTGACTGTCACCATAGTCCATTGTGCTCTTCCCCTTCTCTCTCCCCCTTCACCTCCCTGCCGTGTGCTTCAGATCTACAGTTTGCCTGCAAGCTTTGTCTTTCTCTTTTCAATTTTTGACCCTTAGTGTGGTTTCTCTATATTCCTCCTGTAAATGAAACCATTTGATATTTTCCTTTTTCCTTCTGACTTATTTCGCTGAGCATAATCCCTTCTAGTTCCTTCCTTGTTGCTGCAAACAGCATATGTTTATCCTTTTTGATTTCTAGATAGTAAGATAGTACTGAAGAGACGGGAGTAAATCAATTAGTGGCGTGAGATACTCATGACTTAATATTACTTAGATTAGGGTTAGTTATAAAATACTAATGAAATATATTTGTAGAAATTTAAGATTAGGATTAATTTTAACCTCTGGAAACCTTGCTGCATCAAGTGTTTTATTTTGCATATAGGTGTAAAGAAGACATTCCAGTGTGAACTTTGCAGTTATACGTGTCCACGGCGTTCAAATTTGGATCGTCACATGAAAAGTCACACTGATGAGAGACCACACAAGTGCCATCTCTGTGGCAGGGCATTCAGAACAGTCACCCTCCTGAGGAATCACCTTAATACACACACAGGTACTAGATAAGAATGTTTGGGGCTATAGCATAGCAAAGGATAAAATTTGGGTTTTAAGTATCATCCAGACAGGTTCTGGTGGAAAACTATAGAAGGAAATTTTTTTTGTGTTCTCTTAGGTATGCTTTTTGTATTCTTGATTTTATTCTAAGCAGGGGACTTAGTTACAGGCAAATGTCAGGAACATTAAGAATTTAAATCATATGAAGATTATGATCCAAAAAAGATTATCTCTGGTAGTTAACCTAGAATATTACCTGGAAGACATCATATTTATGAGGCTAAGGTTTTAACAGCAATGACAAAAAAATGACTCCATCAAGTTACAGACAACAATTACTATGAAGAAATAGAAGTGAAATCTTAACTGTGTAAAAATAGTTTCTGGTTGTTTTTTTTTGTTTTTTTTTGTTTTTTTTTTTTTTTTTTATAGAGGCATGTTTTATTTATTTTATTTGTTTTGTTTATACATGCACTGGGTACAGTCAGAAGTGCGGGAGGGTGAGAGAATTCACCAGAGCCAGAGTGGGTAACAGAGCAAGCAGAAGGACCGAAGTACACTGCTGAGGGGAGCAGCGGGCAGCAGGAGAGGTCTGCGCACCATGTGGGACCCTCCTCTGGTGGCCGGGGAGCAGCCGGGGATTGAACCGGCGCCGCTGAGGCTGCGGGCAGCTTCGCAACCCAGCACTCAACCGCTGTGCCACCGGGGAGGCCCGTTTCTGGTTGTTTTACCAGGAGAGACGATTTCAGAATGCAAAGCTGAAGCAAATTCTAGCCAATCAAACATTTATTTGTGCTTTGTTTGTATTTTAGTGTTTTAAATATGGGCTTCACTGTGGCCATGGTCAGGCCTGAGCGAGTCAGTACGGTGGAATGACAACAGTCCTAGAGTTCTCTTAGACTCTTTTCTGGGCTCTTTGCACTTTAATTGTTGGCACTTGGCTTGTAAGTGCTGATGGAAATTTCTCTTACAGGTTCCTCAGGCAGCATAGCTTTCTCTCCTGATTCTCCACCTTATCTTATAAGATGACTGCTGTTTTTCATTGATGTGCTGGTTATCTGATGAGCATAGTCCAGTGGGGGTTGCCTATGAGCAGCATGCTATGCACTAGTTATTATATTCTTTACTAATGTGACTTAGACCATTTTATCCTTTCTTTAGTTCTACTCAAACACTTGGTAATGTGTTTTATTTGCTAGCTTAAAGATACTATGAAAGGGCACACTACTGAATAAAAACAGTTGTCCCCCCATTATTGCATCTCCCAAGATGGGAGTGCCTTGATGTGGGCGCTGTGTGTCATAATCCTCGGTTTTGAAAATGAGAATTTCAGTCTCTCTTTACCCAGGACTGGTTTTGTACTACTAATTCATACTAATCAAACTCTCAAGGGTCAAATGCATATCAGAAAATCAATTTTCTGATTTTCCTGATGAAAAAAACTTTTCACTTTCTAGATGCAGTTGTATTTCTTTGTAAGGAACACCTCACCTATGTCAAGAGACTGTAGCAATTGAAAGGTTAATTTGGTGAGCGTGGACCTTGAGCAGCGGGGTATAGACGATCACTGTGGTACCGTCTAACGAAAATCCCCATCCCAGAGCAGTGTTCTCTCCTTTCCTAATTGCCGTTGTTTCTCCTAGAGGCAGGGCTCTTTCTCATCTCTGGTAGTATTAGGTAAACATTGGAAATTCTTGTTTTTCAGCTTACCTTTTCTCAATGGAAATGGATACTGCTTTCCTTCTCTTGTCAATTGTTTCACTAACCTCTCTGCACCACTAAACTATCCATTTTTCACAGACAAGAACTCTATCCTTCACTCCTATGTCCTCAGTGATACTAAAGGGGCAAATTGAGCAAATGAATATTCCTCCCAATTACTTAGCTACTATTATACTTCCCTCTCCAGGGTTTTCCCTGTCTCTCAAAGAATCACTTGTGCAGATGACTGGTTCCATCTATTACAGTATGACTCTTCCTAATGTTTTTCTCACAGGCAGCCTTCCTTTGGTTTTGGTATTCGAGATTACCTTGCTGGGACCTCCTTATCTTCAGCCCACAATTACTGATGATCCTTAGTCCCATAATAGTCTGTGGAACAGCACTATCTCCTGCTCTCAACTTTATCTCATTATTATTTTCATTATTTGGCGTAGTATTTCTAATGCAGCTTTCATTGTAGAAAGTGAACAGAGAAGATCCACTTATCGGTTCTATAGACATGAATGTTTCAGTGATCTGTTATCCGATGATAAAGAACAACACTGGTTTGTCAAGTTTTTTATGTAGAAAACAAGCTTTTTTTTTTTTTTTTTTTTAACGTAAGAAAAATGTGTTGGAATATGGGCAGTTGAGTACTATTACTACCTGTACTTGATAAAACTTTAAGGTGTAAAAGAGGTTATATAAGGGTTAAAACTGGTATTTTATTGACTTTAAATCCATAGTGACTAGAATATTCACAAAGTAGGGATAAAAAATTTTTGGTATTCAAAGGCAAGCAGGCTAAAATGGGTAATTTGGAGAAACTGAATGTTGGGTATGTGTTTTTATGTTCTGGTGCTAGTGTTAAAAAGTTGGTGAGATAACCAGGATCCAGCCTTGTCACCTCATACAGCAGGTCCGTGTCCACATTGGCTACAAATTTAACTGTACCCTTGATCTTGTCTTCCCGTCACACTCTGTTTTCTCTAGGTACTCGTCCTCACAAGTGCCCAGACTGCGACATGGCCTTTGTGACTAGTGGAGAGTTGGTGCGGCATCGTCGTTATAAACACACCCATGAGAAGCCATTTAAGTGTTCCATGTGCGATTATGCCAGCGTAGAAGTGAGTATTCAGCTGCTGTTGGCGCATCTCTTAATACCATGATTTCATTATGAGGGTATAGACTACTCAAGCTGACAAGACAAGAGAAAAAAATCTTAATTACTAATATTCCCTCTCCTTCCTGCAAAAAAAAAAAAAGAAAAAGAAAACCTGTAGTGACTGTGAAAGATTTACCTATTTAAAAAAAAAAGAAAGGCGCCATTTCCACATTTTCTTATAGGCCAATTCCGTCGACCTTTGAAGCAAATAACTTCTTGAAAGATGGGGCCTCCCTGGTGTCGCCAAGGGGTTAAGTCTCAGCACTGTGAAGCTATCAGCAGCCACTGCATCATGAGTTTGATCCCTGGCCAGGGAACTGACCCATATGTCACAGTAGACCTCTCCTGACTCGCCCACTGCTCCCCACTCTGTCTCTGGTAAATCCTCTCACCACCGCCACCACCACCACCACCACCACCACCACCACCACCCCCTCCACAGACACACCTCTGGTCAAGCTCTGTGTGCATAAATAAATCTTTAAAAAATTTCTTGAGAGACACCTTTAAATAGAGAATTTATCACCTTTGTTATTTGAGGTGACCATATTACCAAAACCGGGTAAGGATACTACCAAAAAAAAAAACTCTTTTCTCATAGACAAGCAAAAATTCTCAATAAAATTAATAAGAAACCCAATTTCGTGGTAAGTACTAAACAGGGTATACCTGAAATGCAAGGATAGTTGGCCATTAGGAAATTGTTGACATGTATTGCATTGAGCATATGGTCACTTTTTTTTTTTTAAGATTTATTTATTTATGCATACAAGAACTGAGATACAGGCCACAGGTCTGGGGGGGTGAGAGGATTCACAGAGACAGATTGGGGAACAGAGGAGGCAGACTGACTGAAATACTCTGCTGAGGGGAGCAGTAGGCAAGACAGGAGAAGCCTGCTGTGCCATGTGGGTAGCTCCCTGGCCAGCGGGGGATCGAACTCATGATACAGAGGCTGCGGATAGTTTCACAGTGCTGTGCTTAACCCCTTGTGCCACCAGGGAGACCCGAGCATAGGATCATTTCTATAGACAACTGGGGAAAATCTAAAATTCAGTACTCATTACTGTTTTAAAAACCCTAGCAAGTTGAGTAGCAGGAAATGTCTTCTACTTCTAAGGAGTATATTGCTGGAAACATAGAAAACTAATCCTGGTTAACAATGAAACATTGGATGTAGTCCCATTAAAATTCAGAATAAAGGGCCTCCCTGTTGGCGCAAGGGGTTAAGACACAACCTATGAAGCTATGTGCAGCAGCTGCAGCACAAATTCGATCCCTGGCCAGGGAGCAACCCACATGGCACAGAGACCTCCTGTCTGCCTGCTGCTCCCCTCAGCAGTGTATTTCAGTCGATCTTCCTGTTCTGTTCCCCACTCTGTCTCTCTCTGGTGAGTCCTCTCACCTCCTCCACACACACCTTTGGCCTGTACCCCAGTTCTTGTATGCATAAATAAATAAGTCTTTTTTTAAAAAAATTCAGAATAAGGTAAGATATCCATTCTTTTTTTTTTTTTTTAATATTGATTTATTTATGCATACAAGAGCTGGGTTACAGGCCAGAGGGGCCAGGGGTGGTAATGAGAGGATTCACCAGAGACAAAGTGGGGAACAGAACAGGCAGATCGACAGAAGTACACTGCTGAGGGGAGCAGCGGGCGAGTCAGGAGAGGCCTGCCGCGCCATGTGGGTTGCTCCCTGGACAGCCAGGGATCGAACTCGCGCTGCAGAGACTGTGGATAGCCTCATAGGTTGCATCTCAATCCCTTGTGCCACCAGGGAGGCCCAAGATATCCATTCTTACTGTTACTATTTCAGCATTATGCTGGAAATCCTAACTAATAGATTAAAACAAATGAATTGCATGCGGAAAAACAAAACTTACTTGTTACAGACATACGTGTTTACTTATTTAAAAAACTCAATAGTATAAACATAACATTAGAGTAGTAAGAATTAAATTGGGTCGCCAGGTACGATATGCATGCACAAATCAGTAATTTTATCTTGTGCAAAAAGTACTAGAAAGGAGGTTCATGTTCTAACAGCAATAAAATTTCTTCAAGGATAAACTAAAAAAGCAAAAAACATTTAATACCTGTGTAAAAAAAAAACTTCACAAACTTTGCCAAAGGACATAAATAGACAGGCATCATAAGCTGTTACTGAATTTCAACTAGAAGAGTAAAGATGCATGACTAACAGAAATTGAGAAGATGGAGGGACTTGTGTTACTAGGTGTTATACAACTAAATAGTAAATGAAGACATTGTGGTATTGGAGCAGGAATTAACAAACAACTCTTTGGAACAGTAGATACTAGAGCCTAGAAGGATTTAATATGTAATAAGTAGGCGATTCTTGGAAAAAGACTTCGGTAATTTTCATTTCAGTAATGCTGTTGGGATCATTGTTTAACCACTTTCACTCTGTGAGTATTTGCCATGTAGCACTTACGAGTGCAGGTTTTTTTGGTTGTTTTTGTTAAACTTGGAGCACTAAAACTTTTAAGGCAGACATTAGTGAGTGTTCAGAGCACTTCTTTGCATCAAGTTTGAAAATAACTTTCCTGCTGGAAAGGTACCCAGCAGGAGATGAAAAGCATAGTCAGTAGTGAGGAAGGAAAAGAAACCTGACCTGTCTAGGAAGTGCTAATATAGTAAGAGAGGGTGAACAATTATTAATAATTGATGAGGCTTGATTCATCTATACCCCTATCCAATTGCCCTTTTTCTTGGGTTATGATATGGATTTAAAAAACAGAGGTTATACTATAAGAAAGTGAAAATCAAAATCAACAAAAAACTATGAACCAGAGACACTTTTTGGGGGATGGGGGGCAGGAGGGGAGGGATTGGAGTCAGAATGGGGGGGTTGCAATTGTATGAGGAATATAAAAATAAAATTTATTATTAAAAAAAAAAAAAAAAACAGGTTATAGCACCTCCCTGGTGGCACAAGGAGTTAAGGCTCAGCACTATGAAGCTATGTGAAGCCACTGCAGCAAGTTCAATCCCTGGCCAGGGAGCTACCCACATGGTGCAGCAGACCTCTCCTTTTGCACCAGCTGCTCTCCTCAGCAGTGTATTTCAGTCAGTCTGCTGTTCTCTTCCCCACTCGGTCTCTGGTGAATCCTCTTCACACCCCCCAGCCCCCATCTCTGGCCTGCACTGTAGCTTTTGTATGCGTAAATAAATAAATTTTTTGTTAAAAAAACAAAAGGTTATAATGAAGAGGAAGAAACACTATTTCCTAGACATTTTTTTGTATTCTAAAGTTCAGTGCCCAAAAGCTAAACCTTTGTAACTAACACACAGTGCTTACATCACAGTCTACAGTAACAGCAGTGTGAGAGGTTTGCTTGTTTTCACATTTCAGGTCAGCAAATTAAAACGTCATATTCGCTCTCACACTGGAGAGCGACCGTTCCAGTGCAGCTTGTGCAGTTATGCCAGCAGGGACACATACAAGCTGAAAAGGCACATGAGAACCCATTCAGGTAGGACTTCTCCCCTCTTTGTATCAATAAGCTGCCTTTCAGTGGATCCCATGAGACCATCTCAGCCACTACACGTCCCCATTGCTTCCCTGAATGGAAGCTGGTATGAAATGAGGCTACAGTGGACAGACGCTTCTCTGACACACCTTCTGATTTCATTGTTCTGAATATACATTGGAGAATGGATTGTGTTTTGTTGTTCATCTTGAGTCTTTCTACAATTTGGAAGTGATACTTGGATCGCTGTAGTAATTGTGTCTTCTGTAGTAATTAAAAATGAAATTAAAATCTAGGGTTTTTACTATTAGATGAAGTCTGGGTAGATTACTTAACCCATCTCTTTGGGTTTTCCTAAGTACACCTTTTCCTGGGGAAAAAAAAGAAAAAAAAGGAATGTCCTTCTGTTATCCATTTACTCTTCCCCCAAAGGTGAGCATTGCTGTGTGAATTGCTCTCTGTCTAATCTGAAGGTCTGTGGGAGGACTTGGCAGAGCACAAGTGGCGGTGACAATTTAGGGCTTGTTTTGCCATTTCTTAAAGTAGACTTGAACTAGATAATGGGTCTGTGCCTTTGCTTTTCCTAAGTAAGACCTGTAGCTTCTCTGACAATGTATCTGCCAGCCTGAATCACCCTCCAATTAATGAAAGTATTTATTCTTGTCCTCTAATTTGTTGATTCTGTATTTTCTTTTAAGGGGAAAAACCATATGAATGTTATATTTGTCATGCTCGGTTTACCCAAAGTGGCACCATGAAGATGCACATTTTACAGAAGCACACAGAAAATGTGGCCAAATTTCACTGTCCCCACTGTGACACTGTCATTGCCCGAAAAAGTGATTTGGGTAAGTAAATTAATTCGTGGCATACGAAAATATATATATATTTAAAGATTTATTTATTTATGCATTTATTTATTCATGCAACTCTGGGTGTAAGCCAGAGTTGCAGGGGGTGAGAGGATTCACCAGAGTGAGTGGGGAGCAGAACAGGCAGATCTACTGAAATACACTGCTGAGGGGAGCAGTGGACGAGGCAGGAGAGGGCTGCTGCGCCATGTGGGTTGCTCCCTGGCTGCCTGGCTGAGGATCAAACTCGTGCAGCAGTGGCTGGCAGTAGCTTGATAGTGCTGTCTTTGGCCCTTGCGCCACGGGGGTGGCCCTGATAGTATATTCTAAAGGATTTGTTAACATAAGATCATAAATAATTTCCTTCTCTGACTCCTTACAACGTTTATGTATGTGAGTGACCTGCCACTAAATAAAAGCTACTCTTCAGCTGTTTTGTTCTGTTTTATCTTTCTCTTACTGTTGTTAGGCCACGAGATTCTTTCCTGAATTTAGCTCATGTGTAAGTTAACAGGAACATAATGAAAGGAAACAGAGTATACTTTTGATAACTAGTAGCCTTCATTGGTAACGTGTAAGACCCCAGATAAGGAAGTGACATAGTATGATTCAAATTAAGGGCCTCCCAGGTGGCGCAGCGGTTGAGCGCTGGGTTGCGAAGCTGCCCACAGCCTCTGCAGCGCCGGTTCGATCCCTGGCTGCTCCCCGGCCACCGGAGGAGGGTCCCACATGGCGCGCAGACCTCTCCTGCCGCCCGCTGCTCCCCTCAGCAGTGTACTTCGTCAGTCTGCCTGCTCTACTCTCCGCTCTGACTCTGGTGAATTCTCTCACCCTCCCGCGCTTCTGACTGTACCCAATGCTTGTATAAAATAAAAATAAATAAATCTTTTAAAAAAACAAAACAAATTAAGGTCAGTTTCTTCAGAACTTTTAGACTTTAGGTAGTTGGGCAGTTTTATTGGTTTAATAAGAACTATGTTTCTGTGCATAATTAAGCTAGAGTTATTATTCAGATGATTCAGGATGACCCATCCTTAAAGATAAGGTCACTTGAATTTCATACTTTGTTTTTCTTACTTAAAAAAAGTAAAAAATACTGCCCCAGTCTCCTCTTTCCAAAATGCATTACTCCCTGAATATCATTCTTATAGTTTTACAGTTAGATTAGTTGTTCTACTCAATAATTTGTTTTTCTTTTACTTTTTTTTCTCACTTGATCTTCACAATAACATTAACTTATCAAGATATAGGTATAGGCTTTGAATCTGAGGCTCGGGTATCTTTTTTTTTTTTTTTTTAAGATTTGTTTATTTCTGCATACAAGAACTAGGATGTAAGCCAGAGATGCAGGGGTGTGAGAGAGGATTCACCAGAGACGGAGTGGGGAGCAGAACAGGCGGAATGACTGAAACACACTGCTAAGGGGAGCAGCAGGCGAGACAGGAGAGGTCTGCTGTGCCATGTGGGTCAACTCCCTGGCCGGGGATCGAACTGGTGCTACATAGGCTGTGGAGTGCTTCATAGTGCGGTGCTTAATTAACCCCTTGCACCACCAGGGAGGCCCAGTAATACCTACCTTACTGGATTACTATCATGAGTATTTAAAAAGAACATATGAAAGGAAGTCTTTTTTTTTTTATTATTATTATTTATTTTTTTTTTTTTTGGTGGGACCCTCGCTGGTGGCTGGGGATCGAACTGGCACTGCAGAGACTATGGGCAGCCTCACAACCCAGCGCTCAACCGCTGCGCCACCAGGGGAGGCCCTGAAAGGAAGTCTTTATATTGCATTTGTGTCTGTTTTAGAGGATCAGAGGGCGAATTTGAGAACTAAAAATTAATTGAAGTAATATGTATATATAAAAGGCCTTCATTTAATAATGTGTAAGGAGTACAAAGTGAGAGCCACCCCTTTCTGTGCTTCATTTCTGTTCCCCAGAAATGGCTCTCTTTTGTTTGATGAGATATAGCCTTGATTGAAACAGGTTGTTAGCACCGTAATATAAGATCCCACATACAGCTAAGCTCTCATTGCTCCTGGGCAGTCCAGTTATTTGTTCTAGTTGTGTGTACTCCCATTTTTCTCAGTGCATTTGTTCATTCATTCATTCATCCCATAAATGTTTGCTACCTTGAGACTACAAGCTTTGATAGAGAGTTGGATAAATCGCTTTTCCGTTCTATGAATTTCTAATCTTTCTCCTCTTTTTTCTCTGCCTCCCTGGTCTGTGCCTCCCTGTCCCTAATATGTGGCCTCTACATACTTAAAAAAAATAAGAGTAATAAATTGGAAGTTTGAATTTCCTATTGTCAGACCTTCCTCCAATCTGCCTTCAGCTTTTCTTTCCCATCTTCTAAAGAGTTGGTGTCATTCATGGAGTGGTCTGTTACAGTGCCGTAGCCCTGAGCCCACTCTCCTGTAGGCAGTTTTACACTGTCTGCTGTGACCTTTTTACCTTCTTCTTCTTACTCCTACTGTCCTGCCTGGCGAGTCCTTGTGAAGTTATATTTTCACAGTTTATCCTTCCTCGGCTCCTCGCCCAACACAATCCTCCCCCCCCCACACACACACACACACACGCACTGGCTTATACTTTGTCACTGTAAAGTGAGCCTTGCTAAAGGTCATCCATGATGCTACATGATGAAGGCAGGGAACGTTCTCCTCGCCATCTAACTTGATCTCTTTACATCCTATTAGTGAACTGTGCTCTCCTCCCTAAAACACTTTCTCCCATAGCACGTCATCCTGATGTTTTTATTTTTCTGAGTGTTTCTATTCAATCTTAACTTAACCCTCTTCCACTCATGTGCCCTCTAATTTTTGCCTTAGTGATTTCATCAGTTCCATGGTCTCACTCAGATCTTACCAACTACAGTTCTTACTTCAGCTCTTTCCTTAGAGTGAGTTAGGCTTGTATAACTAGCCGTCTGTCTTTCACCAGCCCTTTCCCAACTTTGGTATCAATGGCATTTCAAATTCACCATATCAAACATTTTATATCTCGTTGCCTCATCCTCAAAACCACACACACCCCACACACAGAGTTTGGTCTTCTGCTCCCTTCCTTGATTCTTCGTCTTAGTAAATGGTCCCACTGATGACTCAGTTTTCCAAGCCAAAACACTGGCAATTGACCTTGACCCTTGCTCTTGCTCAGCCTATTCAGGCATGAAGTCCGATGATTGACTCAGCTTCCTCCATCTCTCCTCAGTTCTTTTTCCTTCTGTATTCTTTGCCATCACCCTTGTCCACCTACCATCTTTTCACAACTACCCTGTTTCAACATCTAAACTGATCGTCTCAAATTTGTTGTTATCCTTTTTTTTCCCCCAAAGATTTATGCATGCAAGAACTGGGGTGTAGGCCAGAGGTGTGGGGAGTGAGAGGATTCACAAAAGACAGAGTGGGAAGCAAAGCAAGCAGATCTAGTTTAAATGCACTGCTGAGGGGAGCAGCAGGCCAGGCAGGAGAGATCTGCTACGTCATGTGTGGGTTAGCTCCTTGGCCGGGGATTGAGCCCAGTTGCAGCAGCTGCTGATAGCTTGATGGGTGCTGTCTTTAAACCCTGAGCCACCAAGGAGGCCTGTTACTATCCTTTTAATTCATTTTCTGCACAACAGCCAGAGTAACGATTTTAAGAAACGAAAGAAATGTGTTATTAACTTGTTGAAATGCTTGATTGTTTTCACAGGTTAGACTGGCTTTGTATTTTTCTTTCAGGTGTCCACTTGCGGAAGCAGCATTCCTATATTGAGCAAGGCAAGAAATGCCGATACTGCGATGCTGTGTTTCACGAGCGCTATGCCCTCATCCAGCATCAGAAGTCACACAAGAATGAGAAGCGCTTTAAGTGTGACCAGTGTGATTATGCTTGCAGACAGGTAGAGAACTTCATAATTAGAAAGCAGTTGATGCCCCGTTGGTATCGGGTTTTATCAGAGGGTTTTTATATACTTTCTGCAGTCGCTCCTTTTAAGGAGAGTATTTTTAAATTGTGATTTATGGAAAATGTTACAGATCAGAGGTCCTGCCCCTTGATGTATCATCTCAGTCTCCAACGACTGATGTTTTATTCAGTCACAGCTTATCCCCTCAGGGAGACTACTTGTTACTTTCTCAGAACTGTGGGAAATAAATCCAGACTTGAAAGAAGGGAAGACTCTGGTTCTGGAACCTGATATTTGAAGTTATCTAGCATAGTGGTCCAGCAAAAGTGAACATCTCTGTGCCAGGATTTATGGAAGCAATTTTGCACCCCAGTAAAGATAACTTTATGATCTTGACAAGAGATATTGAGCCTTGACCCTGGAAAAGAAAGACCTGTCAACCACGTGCATGATGGTGGTCGTGGCCTGGGAAGCAGTCTCCTGACAGGGTCTGAGGTCTCTCCCCCACCCCCGCTCTGTTTCAGGAGAGGCACATGATCATGCACAAGCGAACCCACACCGGGGAGAAGCCTTATGCCTGCAGCCATTGCGACAAGACCTTCCGCCAGAAACAGCTCCTCGACATGCACTTCAAACGCTATCATGACCCCAACTTTGTCCCTGCAGCCTTCGTCTGTTCTAAGTGTGGGAAAACATTTACACGCCGGGTAAGAGTCAGAACTTTACTTTTCTACTATGGTTCATAATATTGTTTTCAATCTTTCTGTATATTGCTCTTACCCACTGAGGTTATAAACATAGAGACACTCTGTCCTTTGTTAATGGTTGGTCATCACCCCTGGAGGTGTTCTACCTATCTGTGAACCCTTCCCCTGATGGCAAACTCAGTATCTTTATTTTTTTTTTTTTTTTTTAATAGAGGCATGTTTTATTTATTTATTTGTTTGTTTGTTTTGTTTATACATGCACTGGGTAGAGTCAGAAGTGCGGGAGGGTGAGAGAATTCACCAGAGCCAGAGCGGGGAGCAGAGCAGGCAGAAGGACCGAAGTACACTGCTGAGGGGAGCAGCGGGCAGCAAGAGAGGTCCGCGCGCCATGTGGGACCCTTGCTGGTGGCCGGGGATTGAACCGGCGCTGCAGAGGCTGCGGGCAGCTTCGCAACCCAGCGCTCAACCGCTGCGCCACCGGGGAGGCCCAAACTCAGTATCTTTAAATAGATCTGTCCTGGCTGTTTCCTTGTCTCCTCAGGATAAGGGGCTGTTTGACTCTCCCTTGCTCCTTTTGTCTGCAGGCTGAGCACAGAGGACCTAGGCTCATCTTCTGAGGGACTGTCTTCTCTCCTCTCCTCCCTCCTGTCTTTCTTTTCTCCCCTGCAGATTGAGACCCTGTCCTCTGAATGGGGAGAACATGTTCATGATGTACTTAACAAATACTAGAACATTCAAATTTAATATGGATACCCCAAGTTTTATTTTATTAAACTAAAATAGAACTTCTAATTCTCATCTTAATTTTTTTAGTAATGTGAAAAGATTTTATTCCTTTTATTAGAACACCATGGCAAGACATGCTGACAATTGTGCTGGTCCAGATGGTGTTGAAGGGGAAAATGGTGGAGAAACGAAGAAGAGTAAACGTGGAAGAAAAAGAAAGATGCGCTCTAAAAAAGAGGACTCCTCTGACAGTGGTAAGTTAAGTGACTTGTTCTTGATTTAGTTACCTGGCGGATTTCAGCTCCCAGTTTCCAGTACATAAGGAGAACCAACCACTCTTTCTTCCTTTAACCCTCTGATCTTCCCAATGGGTTGTGCGTATGTGTGTGCTTAAACACACACACTCACGCACGCACAATACACATAACTGCAGTTAATTTTCTTTTTCTCTATAGCATTTAATTGCTTGATAATATCGTATGTTATGTTCAGTTAAAACCAAAAGAAAAGTACTATGTTTACTCAGACTAGTGATATTCTAAGGCCAGCAGTTTCTTTTCTATGTTCGTAACATTTACATTTAAGAAACTGGTCTAGGTTTGAGCAGTGAAGCTAATGGACATGAAGAAGGTTGCATAATCATCTTCACCAACCTCTGTTGATGGCCTTTCATCAACAGAGCCTAGCCTTGAGAGGTATTGATCAGATCTGTGAAGGTCAGCCTTTCTCTTCCTGCCTTTATCTCCTTTATTATCTAAAGCTTGGTTTATTTTCCTACCATTGATGCTTTTGGGTGGTTTGTGCCTTTCTAGTCATGACTCCCAGGCAGAGATTGGGAATGCCCAGAGGTGTTGGGCTCGGAAAGGGGGGATGAACAAGAGTCCTGCTAGTGTAGGAGTCACACTTGACTGTACAGACTCGTCCTGAAGGGCTCAGTTCTGTCCGTGGGTTCTCGGGTGCTGGCACCCCTCAAGTGGCCACTGTGTATGGAAAAGGATGTAGAAGGATTTTGGGTTTTGGTGAATGCACTTCCCTGTGATCAGACAGATTATAGATGGTGCCTGATACATTTCTAAGAAGTTCTTGTTTTTCGTCTGTATTGCTTGTTAGTAGAAATTGTGGGGAGGAAATGAAAATTGAACATATTAGAAACTTCAGTCACTGTATTAGTTTTGTTTTAAAACTTGATCGTGAAAGTGCCACATTTTTAAAATTTAAACTGTGAAAAGTTTCCCTTATAGCAAAGTTATCACTTTTCTTTTCAGAACTTTAACTTTACCTAGATTTCAAAGTAAGCATAAGAGTAATTTTTGCTGCCTTTTTTAGTGGAAATTCTCGTTCAGTTATCTTCAGTTACTGGGTTTTAAGTGAGTATCTCCTTTGAAATGTCAGTTTGCCTAATTTTTTTTTTTTTAAGATTTATTTATTTATACAAGAACCCGGGTACAGGCCAGATGTGCAGAAGGATGAGAGGATCCACCAGAGACAGCCACCAGAACAGGCAGACTGACTGAAACACACTGCTGAGGGGAGCAGCGGGCGAGACAGGAGAGGTCTGCCCCACCATGTGGGTATCTCCGTGGCCGGCGGGGATCGAACTGGCACTTCAGAGGCTGTGGACAGCCTCACAACACTGTGTTCAACTGCTTGCGCCACCAGGGAAACCCAGTTTGCTTAATTTTTTTAACAGCACACAATCCTTGTGGGACCTTTTTGTTCGGCAAAGAAATTAGCAAATGGAGTGTTAGGAGTTGCCAAGATGTGTCAGAGGCTCTAAATACCACCAGATATCCACAGGTCTCTTGGACTTAAGCTTGAGGATCCCTGTAGTTGCTTATAGTTGTGGGGTTTGTAGCCACCACAGGCCATTATCCAACAACATTTCTTACGGTATTACCTGATGGTGCTTCTGTGATTCCTCCCCCAGGAAGACCAGTTTTATTCCCTAATTGGACTTGATCATGATGCATGTGTCATCTGAAGATCTCATTAGTCTATTTCTACAGTTCCGCCCTTTTGCCTTCTGCACTGCTGGTTTATGGAGCAATTTAGTTCTGGGCCTCCTATCTAGTGTCTTTTTACCTGGCCTTGTGAATGGCCTTTCCATCCCACTGCTGACAAAGGCCACACAGTCCTGTTTGTGCTGTCCAGAAGTTCTGCCTGTGGGCCAGCTGCAGGGTTGACCAGCAAAGTCTGCTACCACTTTCAAGGCTTTTTGCCAACATCTCTCCAAGCTAATAAGCCTTTGACCCTATAACTGTTTTTTGTGTGCTTTCCGCCCCCAATTCTAATGAATTTGTTCAGTTTTATAGGCATTGGGCCAACTTAGGCAGTAGGGGGCTTGAATAAGTTCAGCAGGGAAACATCTTGTTCTTGACACACTGCCATGTACCCGTATGTGTTCCCCACACTTTCACTTAGGATTTTAGTCACTTGACAAATAAGGCATTTTGTCCTGAAGATCAGGCATTTACCCACAGATTTCTAAATTTAAACATTCCGTTCCAGAGAAAGAATGTGCGTAACCTGTGCTTTTTGGAGCAGGGTGACAAGCAGGGCACACTTCATGCAGCAGCATGGGGCAGGGTAGCTGCTATTTGGCTCCTACAGTTGTGGGCAGCAGGACCACCCCAGACGGAGGTCAGAGGTTTGAATTCCACCTGCTGTGGTTTAGCTGTACCTTACAAATCACTTAGCTTCTCATTTTTCCCGTGAAATGAGGGTTACAACTCTTATAAAATGAAATAGTGAGGTATAAATGGGATAGTAGAGAACTTTAAAACTGTGATATACAGTGTAAATCACAGCTGTGCTTGTGTAGTGCAGTGTAAGTTACCGGGCACGATTTCATACATGATCTTGATCCTCAAGTCGCTAGTAGTAGGTTGGGCATGCAGAAGAGACTGCACGAGGAGACTAGGCCAGTGTGTGGTCATTGTCCGCCATCATGCATCCAGTAAGAGACTTGGGACTCAAAGCGGTGATCTTTCTACAGTAGTTCCCTCTCGTGTGTGAATGTGGCATTAGAGAGAAGGCAAGGAAATTGAGAATGATCTATTGGGTTTTTTTTGGGGGGTGGGGAGGGGTTTGCATAGCCTATTTGAAAGAATTACTGGAAGTTATACTTTAGAAATCCAGGCTCACTGTAAGCATATATGCTCAAATTTTCCTCCCACGCCAAAAATTAGCAAGGAAGGGCCTCCCTGGTGGTGCAAGGGGTTACGCACAGCACTATGAAGCTATCCGAAGCCTCTCCAGCATGAGTTCGATCCCTGGCCGGCCAGAGAGAAACCCACATGGTACAGCAGACCTCTCCTGTCTCGCCCACTGCTCCCCTCAGCAATATACTTCAGTCACTCTGCCTGTTCTGCTCCCCACTTTGTCTCTGGTGAATCCTCTCACCCCCCGCACCTCTGGCCTGCACCCAACTCTTGTATGCATAAATAAACAAATCTTTAAAAAAAAAAATAGCAAGGAAAATTAGAAAATAAAATACCCTAGCTCTGTCCTAGAGGATGAATAGTGTACAGTATGTTTGGGGGTGAAGGGAAGAGAAGGTCACAGGTATTGCCTAGGTGTTTGTAAAGTTAAACAATTTAACAGTAGCCATCCCAACTTGTGTTGGAGTAAACTCTCTTAAACTACTGGGGGGGGGGGGGCGGAAAGGGATCTGTCATTGTAACCGCAGACGGGGAAAGTAACTATTATAAAAAGCTCAGGGTAGAAGGAAGATAGCACCATACATTATTTTTTAATGTGGACGTTGAATTCTTATCAAGACTGATATTTAATTTTGATCATTTATCATGATGTGAATTTGAAATCTTTATATTAAGCTCTTTCCCTTGGGGCGGCGGGGAGGGGTGATCCATCAAGTCTGGCAAGGAATTAAGCCCAAACACTTGGCCTTAAGAAAACCCCTTAGTAGGAGTCCTAGAAAAGCTCTCACACTTATTCTAGTAAGTAGAGCCTCACAGTGCATTTGCTGTCTTGCCCCTTGACAGTTATACCTTCTGCTCACTCGGAGACTAGCAGGACCTCTTCTTCGGGATCCATCTTAGGCTTAATGTCCTGCTTTTTATCCTTGTACATTTGGTGGAGGGAACATTGATTTTCACCTTAAACACTACTTACGGGTTTGTTATTTATGTGGTTTTGTTATAGACTGCTGTAACGTGGAGTTGCCTCTAATAATTTGAAACTCAATATTCTGATGTCTAAACCAAACAAAAATAACATCCAGTTCGCATAAAATATGAGTAATAGTATTGAAGTTGATTTGCTTATTTGTTCCACCGTAATACCATTGTGTTGAAGCCGACAGCCTAAATTCCAGCAGAAGCATTTTTAAGATGGACTCTTACTAACTAAAACAAATATATAATTTCATAGAATATGTGAATATTTGTGTGTTCTTCCCCCCCCCCCCCCCCATAATGCTTCTCCTTGCCCTACCACCTGTTCTTCCTGATTTTATGAGAAGAAAATGCTGAGCCAGACCTGGATGACAATGAGGATGAGGAGGAGCCTGCAGTAGAAATTGAACCCGAGCCAGAGCCTCAGCCTGTGACCCCAGCCCCACCACCCGCCAAGAAGAGGAGAGGACGCCCCCCTGGCAGAACCAACCAACCCAAACAGACCCAGCGTAAGTTACTTGTCTCGGCTCAGTGGGCTGGCATCTTCTCCTGGCCTATGGGAACAGGTCCTTGTTCTTTGGAGAGATGGCAGTGAAGCCTGGAGAACACATTACAGGCACACTTGAGCACCCTCTCAGGAAGCAGTATTTCAGTTTTTACTGGGGAACATCTGAAGAACTCCATGAAGGCCTGTTAGTGGTTCAGCAAGAAGTCCAGAGTAGAAGGGTGCTTATGTTCTGTGGGAGCTGTCAGCTGGAGAGGCTTGTACAGAACAACCCGAGTCACCGTCAGCTGGCAGAGTAGATGAATGTGAGTGAGCCCCGTTTTGACGGATGGAGAGATGAAACAATTTCTGTGCTTAGATCGTCCCTCCTAAGAAATCCAGACCTGTGGATGTACTTGCTGGCGTCCTGACTTATGAAAGGACCCAGGAGACGTCCTCACCTTCTATCTCATACCACTGGCGACGAGGGCAGTGGTCCTGTGCTTTACACAGCCTGGTGACGGCAGGCTGGGGCGCGGGAGGGGTGCTCAGGTCTCCATTCTATGCATGTGTCCCTCTAGATTTCCTGAAAGCTGGTGATTTTGTTTTTTCTCCTCACAAAGGCAGGGTCTAATCTGTTTTTTGTGGTGGTGGTTTTTTTTTTAAGATTTATTTATTTATGCATATACAAGAGCTGGAGTATAGGCCAGAGATGCAGGGGTGTGAAAGGATTCACCAGAGACAGAGTGGGAAACAGAACAGGCAGACTGAGTGAAATACACTGCTGAGGGGAGCAGCGGGCAAGACAGGAGGGGTCTGCCTCACCATGTGGGTAGCTCCCTGGCCGGCCAGGGATCAAACTCATGCTGCAGAGGCTGCGGATTGCTTCATAGTGCTGTGCTTAATCCCCTGTGTCACCAGGGAGGCCTTAATCTGTTTTTTTAAGGTGTCCCCCCAAGCCCCCATGTATAGGTGTCCGTCACAGGGTTAGCCAACTGTAGATCCTGGGAACATTTTACCTACACACATTTGAATGAACAATGGTGGGAGGGATGTGGGGGGATCAAAACAGGTGTGGGGGGGATCAAAAATGTCAGGTTCGGGCCTCCCTGGTGGCGCAGACGGTTGAGTGCAGCACTGTGAAGCTGTCCGCAACCTCTGCAGTGCCGGTTTGATCCCCACTGGCCTCAGAGCAAACCACGTGGCGAGCAGACCTCTCCTGTCTCACCCGCCGCTCCCCTCAGTAGTGTATTTCACTCAGTCTGCCTGTTCTGTTCCCCGCTCTGTCTCTGGTGAATCCTCTCACCCTCCCGCACATCTGCTCTATACCCCGGTTCTTGTATAAATAAAAATAAATCTTTAAAAAAAAAAACTCAGGTTCTTGATATAGGTGGGTCCCTCTAAAGTGGACCTACCTCACTCACTGTGCAGTGTTCTTAGTCATACACTGTCTACAGTTTTTCACCTATCTCGCCCTATAGTAAAGTCCAAATTCATGATGGAAAGCTCTTAATATATAATTTGAGGGGCATATGTAGACAGATGCCAGCATATTGTTCTTTGATAGTTACTAGTGTCTTGGAGCTTTACGTGTGGTCACATTTCAAGTCATTATGTCTTTTTTTAATCGACTCTGTCTACATTACCAAGACTTCCCTGTACTGCCCATGTCTGCTTAGTGTCGCATCTGAAAGTGCCCTCGTGTGTACCCTCAGGGGCTTTAATGGAGCATCTCTTTTGTTTGTGCTCTTTTTTTTTTTGCCAGCAACAGCCATCATTCAGGTTGAAGACCAGAACACAGGTGCAATTGAGAACATTATAGTTGAAGTCAAAAAAGAGCCAGATGCAGAGCCCGTGGAGGGGGAGGAGGAGGAGACCCAGCCAGCTGCAACGGACGCCCCCAACGGAGACCTCACGCCTGAGATGATCCTCAGCATGATGGACCGGTGATGGCAGGGCCTCGCTCGCCACCGGGACTGCTCTGGGCTGTGTTTAAACGGCCCGAATCTTAATTTTTCTCCCTTCTTTCTTCTTTTGGCTTTGGGAAAAGCATCATTTTACACCATTTTACCAAACATACCGAGAACTAAAACTTCAAGGATGATGTTAGAAAATGTGATTTAACTAGAACTTGCTGTTTGATGTTAGCAAATCATGGAATGTTCTGAATCCCTGAGGGTTTACTCAGAAGTGCTGAGGACAGTGTTGACTCCTGACTGGTTTTCTTAGATGGAAACGGAGACATCGACCCTCTCTCTCGCTGTGGTAAACCACTCCAGAATGGCCACCGGGTTTCCCAGAGTTCTCTGGTCTTCTTCCCAGGAGAGTTTTTAATTGTAAATGCAGACTTGGGAAGGACTTAGACTTTTAAACTGGTTTTGGCTTTTGCTTTTCCCTGACTCCCTTTGCTTGGAGTCAGCTGCACACCAGTAGTATGGCATGCTACGATCGGTTTTTGTCCTGAAGGCTTTGCCTCTTTCTTGGCAGAGTTTCTGGTATGGTCAAGCTTGTAAATAACTTTTTTTACATTTTAATCTTTTCCATTAATTAAGAGGTTGAAAAGAAGTGCAGTGTAAGAAAACCCAGCATTTTAATTACTTGCAAATTAAGTTACCACGGACTCTGTAGTGTGTAAACGTTGACAAGGAATTGGATCACAATCATGTAGCAGAACAGCACCCAGACTGCTGCCCGCCACCGGTGACGGCCGCCCACGTGGAAGATGGTGATTTCCGCCCATGGAGCCAACATCTGAACCTTGTACAATTAACTTTCAGTTATGATTTCCCATCTACATTTTCTTTGCTCTGTTTGTAGCTGAATTTTGTGTTTTATAAATCCTCTATTAAAGAAGGGTGATTATGAGTGGGTCACAGCAGCCCTTCAAAGCTGGGCCGGCAAATTTCTCTAGGTTAGTAATTTAAACTTTGGATCTTCAAAAAAATAATAATAATAATGTGAAACAAAACCAACTAAAAAGTGATTCTTGCACATGAACTGTCACATGTTTAAAATGTGTTTTTAGAGAGCCTCAGTCTTGCTGATTTCAAACACTTTTTTCTTCTGTGTATTGCTTTTAAGAGAGCCATCAGTTAGCTATCAAACTCTAGGTTGATGCATTTTGTACTTAGCTGTACTGTGTGATATTTTTCATTATTTTAGGACGCCAACATGAGACCTGTAATAAAATATGTAATGGGGTTGAAAGCTGGGGAGGAGGATCTACTGCTGTACAGCTAATAAATCATAACGGATTAACAAGTGCTCCAAACATCCCGTCTTGTGTGTTTCCTGCCTGACGAGGGGCCCGATGGGGTCCATATGCGTGGTCTGAGGTAGTGCCTTTCAGATCAGCTGTGTCCCCGCCATGACAGCTTCCTCTAGCAGATGGCAGATGATTGCAGCATTTGACAGGCTCCTGAGTGCATCCTGCTGCAAGTCTGACCTCCTGGAAAGTGGGTGAGTAGAGAGGTGAGTGGTTGTGCGCCTTCCGTGCTCCAGCCGAGGCGTGGGTTCCTAAGCAGAGGGGGCGGGCCGCAATTCAGAGTCAACTGGGTGGATGGGCAGCTCTGGGATCAGTCCCTCAGACGCTACCAAGAATTCTGCCAAGGGAGAGGGGGAAGCTAACCCTGGAGAAGCTCATTTGGAAGGGGAGACCCCTTGTGCAGCCTCCAGCTGTGGGGAGACACTGCAGCCGCCACAGGGAGCAGAATAGGAAGGGCGGTGTCCTAGGAAATGTATGCATTCGTGAAATACCTCCCTGCCGCCGCCGTGTCAGAGCAGAGTGCTCCAGTGACCCATTTTAGGTGAAAGTTTTAGCCACTAATGGCAGGGTGTTTAAAACCAGAATTCCATCCCAGCCAGATTTCAGTGAAAAGTAACAAAGAACAAGATGTGTCTAGCCTCTGGCTGGTGTGTTCTGCCCGTGCACTTGGCTCTCGCAGGAAACGACTGTTATCTGTGGCCTCAGGACTCCGCCAGGCAGGCAGCTCCTTGGACGGAGCGTTAGTGGCACGAGGCTATGGGGGCGCTCAGTCTCCATCCTCTCCGGGGCCTGGGGACCCCCCCAGCAGTGCTTCAGCTGACGCGGGACTTTTTCCCAAATGTAAGTATTCACAGTAGATGGCTGCGGACCGGTGCGGGCTGGATGTGGTGTTCCCGAGCTGTTCCCCTCTCCTGGTGCGCATCCGGCTGAGGGCGTGAAGGTGGTTGATGTTGGCTGGGGAGAAAAGTGGCGTTCGGGAGGAGGTAGGACTCAAGCGGAGTCCCCTGCTGCCCAGTGATGAGCTGCCCCGTGTGACCCCGTGGAGTGGAAAGCTGTCAGCAGCAGCAGGCGCTTCTCGCTATGACTCCACATCAGAGCCCCGTGGAGGGGAGTTCCCCGCCGCACCCTTCCCAGTTAAACCAGAGCAGGCCCTTGCCAGGCCGCGCTGGGGTCGCCAGTCCTCAGGCCCAGCTCAGCCTGCTTCCTCCCCCGCTTTTCCGCAGGCTCTTGGCTTCCCAAACCGTGTGCGGGGACCCTTGTGGCGGCACTGGGAGGCGCAGCCCGGCTGCCTTCCTCCTGTGCTGCCCTGGCCAGGCGGGGCTGAGGCCTCGTGAGCTTTTAGCATTTCCTGGGCCCCCACAAGTGTGTCATGCGCTCTGGGACAGAGACAGACTCGAACAAGCTGGGGCCTCGCGGGGGTGGGGGGGTGGCGGGGGCGGCACTGAGTCATTGTCACTGTAGGAGCCGAGTCCCGTGTGTTCGCTCGGGCTCCACGCAGGCTTCGCCAGGGCCGCCCTGGCCACGGCAGTCCTGGAGGAGGTGTGACTAGCCGGGCTCCCTGGGTCTGACCACGCTGATTCTGGTTTCCTCCTCCCTGACACGGGCTCCAGTGCCGCCGGCGAGCCCGCTGGCCTTGTGCCCCCCGCGCGGGGAGCGGCGCGAGCCCTTTGGAGTCCTTCCCTCTCGTGCCTCTCATCCCGTCACACCAAAGCCAGAAACCCCAGCAGGGCCGCTTGTGTCCCTTCTGTTCGGGAGGCCTGGGGTTGCCATGGTAGATTTGGCAAACGCACGTGTCCACTGCGTGCCAGGCGCTGTTGTGAGCGCTTCTCTGACACACTTCATCCTTTCAGTAACACTTGGAGGTAAGGTCAGGGTTGTCGCTTAGGCCGTGGGAACTGGAGCCTCAGAACCGGCAAGCCAGTCTCCCGGTGAGGGGCAGGCAGGTCTTCAGGAGGTTGGCCGCCGGCACCTGCTTTCTGGACCTTCATGGTTCATAATGGCAGTGCTTGAGGCTTCATTGAGTTCACCCCCTAAAAGCAGTTCGCGGGTACTGTGCGGTCTCAGGAGAGTCTTACGAAGATCTGAACCTGAACTCTTCCACCTGGGGGCAGCTGACAGGCCAGCATTGTCCTTTCCTGTCAGCCCTGGACTCTCCCAGCGGCTGCTGCCTGAGGAAAGGAGCCCCCACCCCCATGTTGCTGCTGTTCGCTTTCCACTCAGTACCAGCCTGTGGGGGCCCTCAGCACGTGGAGATGAGATTTGTTGGGGGGAGGTGTCAGATGATCGGCGGGAGCTCTGCAAGGCCTGCCCTGTGTGCTGCTCGGTTCTCAAGGGGGGAAGGGCAAGGAGAGGCGGGAAGGAAAGCAAGGTTCTCTCTGTCCTCGGGGGCACCTCTGGGTGAAAGGCAGGTGGGCAGGCGGAGGGCTCGCTCTTCTCAACGTGGAGCGTAATTAGACTGATGCAGGCGGGGGGCGAGTCCCCTCCTGTAAGCCCCACGGAATCTAGTCCTGGCCTTTAATAGAGCAGCAGGCCTCTGGCTGGCAGGCCCCCACCCAGAATCCTCTGATGCGCCCGGCCTGGAGACACCTGCTTTCTTCCAGTGAGTGGTTCCAGGCTCCCCAAACTCGAGCTGGTGTAGCATGCAGACGCAGAGGACCCCCACATAACTGAGCTCCCTTGTGAGGCCCTCCACTTCTCCCCGAAGCCCCTGGGTTCCCGCCCTGCCCCAGCCTGAACCTGGTGAAAACCGAGGGCTGGCACAGAAGGGTGTCTGGGCCCATCTGGCATTTTTTCCCACTCAAAGTCAGAGGCTCAGGGCTGCGCGCGCGCGAGCTGCTTCTGGAGCGAGGGCGGCGCTGGGAGCGCCGTGACCCTCCCCGCAGAACATGCCCTCCTTGTGCTCGGTTCCCCAAGCGCCGAGCGACGCGTCCAGGTGGGTCCCCGGGATCCCCGAACGGACAGCGCCCCCTGGTGCTCGCGGCGGGGACCTTGGGGCGGGGTGGAAGCAGGGGGCTCTCAACCCTGAGGCGCTCCGCGGAGACCCTCCAGGTCCTGCCACTCCCTCCCCCATGTCTTCCCTGACCCAAAAGCTCCTGCTCGATGGAGCGGGCGGGCAGCCGGGAGCCTGACCTCTCCTGCCACCCCACGCCCGGGTGCCAGCTCCCGGCCCACGGAGGCCGGGACGGGGAGGAGCCGGGCAGGGGGCGGCCTGGCAGGAAGCCGCGCGCACCTTCCGCCGCCGCAGGAGCAGGTGGCGGCAGCACGGGCCGGGCCCGGCTTCCTGTGTGTGCCCGCCCGCCCGCCCGCCACTGTTTCTCGTCGGAGCTCCCGGGGCACCCCAGCCTCCTGGGCCGGGCCCCATGGCCCAGACCCCCCAGGCTCCCGAGGGCATATCCTGTGAGCTGCGAGGTAAGCGCTGGCCCTTGGCGCCCACTTGGCTGGAAGGAAGCAGGGCGGGCCCCAGAGCAGAGGCCCAGCTGGGGCGAGGGGCCAGCGGTCTCTCCGCTGCTCGAGGGCTTGGCGACCCCGGATTCACTCCCCGACTTCGGGGCTCGCCCACAAAAGAAGCCAGGCCCCTACTGTCCCTCGGACCAGGGGAGGACCCCAGTCACCCACAGGCTGCCTTCCACAGGCGAGATCACCAGGTTCCTGTGGCCCAAGGCAGCGGAGCTGCTGCTGAAAACCTGGCTGCCCCAACGCGAGGGTGCGGAACGGGGTCACGTCCTGGTATGGTGGGGGCAGGGCCTGGGAGGGCCGCCGGGACCAGGCTGCAGAAAGAAAAAGCCTCTTGCCCTGCCCGGGGGTCAGACACTCTCTCCCCTAGGCACTGCTGCCATGGAGAGCCTACCTGCTCCACACCTGCCTCCCCCTGAGGGTGAGTCCCAGGGCCTGGCTTGCCACTCCTGACCCCTTGACCTTCCAGCAGCTTCCTTGAGGAGGGGTTTCATGTCCTTCTGGTCCTGGGAGCCTCTGCCCTTCACGAGCTTGGGCTCCTGGGAGGGGGGGGGGGCTTGAGGCAGGGCCCGGCTGAACCAGGTGCTCTGCAGGTGGACTGCACGTTCAGCTACCTGGAGGTCCAGGCCATGGCACTGCAGGAGACACCCCCTCAGGTGAGACTCCTGCTACCCTGCCAGGACCTGCAGCCTGGCCTTCATCTCCCCCTCCACCTCCCCCCCTCTCCCATGGAGCCCAGCCCAGTAGCCCACCCTCGCAGGTCACCTTTGAGCTGGAGTCGTTGCCTGAGCTGGTCCTGGAGTTTCCTGGCGTGGCTGCCCTGGAACAGCTGGCCCAGCATGTGGCCGCCGCCATCAGGAAGGTCTTCCCTCACTCGACCCTTGGGTGAGCCCCAGCCACTATTAGGGCCTGGCCGGGGAGGAGGGCAGTAGGGTGCCTTCAGCCACCCAGGGGGCTGCTTCACATGCCAGGGGCTAGAAACCGCTTGCCCCCTCTGGTTCCCTCCCCAGGAAGCTATTCCGGAGGCCCACGCCCCCCTCCATGCTGGCTCGCCTGGAGAGAAGCGTTCATCCCTCCGAGGCCACTGCACCCAGCAGACCCTGTGGTAAAGGCCGCGGCGGGCACACACAGGGCTTCTAGGCCCCTGCGGTCCCAGCCCCCTGGATGTGGGGTCTCCCAAACGGCACAGAACCACTGGGGGCGCGCTACCACCCCGCTTGGTCTGACCTCCCTCTGGGGCTGACCTTTTGTCTTTCTCCTTCTTTCACCCTGTTGTACCTACCCCAGGTGGCTTTGTGGAGACTTATGAGGCTCTTTGCGACTACAATGGCTTCCCTTTCCGAGAGGAGATTCAGTGGGTGAGGTGGGCCCTCTGTGGGGGGCTCTGGTATCTGATCCCCCAAGTGCCTTGAGCCCTCCCTAGCCCCTGTGGCCCCAGGCCAGCTGGAGACGCTTTGCTCCTGTCCAGGATGTGGACACCATCTACCATCGCCAGGGCTGCCGCCATTTCTGCCTGGGGGACTTCAGCCACCTGAGCAGCCGGTGCGGGGCTGGCCCGGACTGGGGAGGGAGGGAGGAGCCACGACCCACTTCCTCAGCCTCTCCCTGGAGGGGCGTGCGCGGGGGGTGCTGAGCCCTGGCCTGTGCCTTCTCCCGCCCAGGGACCTGGCCCTGAGCGTGGCTGCCCTGTCCTACAACCTGTGGTTCCAGTGCCTCTCCTGCGTGGACATGAAACTGGTGAGCGGGGAGGGGAGGGCGGGCCGAGGGCACTAGGGCTGGGTGCAGCCCACTGAGCCCCTCTGGTTCTCAGAGCCTCGAGGTCTTGGAACAAATTCTGCACGTGATGAGTCAGTCTTCCCACCTAGAGGAGCTGGTGCTGGAGACCTGTGGCCTGAGGGGGTGAGGGGAACAGGCGGGGCTTGGGGACAGGCACCCCGGGGCTGGTTCTGGGGGGCGAGTGCCTTGGGGGGAGCTGGGAAACCAGGGCCAGAGTCTCACCCCTGGGGTCTGGTCCCCAGAGACTTCGTGCGGCGGCTGGCGCGGGTGCTGGCGGAACACCCGAGCTCTGGGCTGCGGGAGCTCAGCCTGGCGGGGAACCTGCTGGACGACCGAGGTAGGTGCGGCTGAGCGTGCGGACCCCCCACTCCACCCCTGGAGTAGGTGAGAGCTCCGGGTCGTCCCCACCCCCAGGCATGGCGGCCCTCAGCAAACACCTGGAGCATCGGCCGGGCGCCCTGAGGAGACTCAGCCTGGCGCAGACGGGGTTGACCCCTCGAGGTAGGCGGCCCGGGCTGGGGCAGGCGGAGGGGGCGGGGCCGCGGGCAGGTGGAGGTGGAGGGGGCGGGGCCGCGGGCAGGTGGAGGGGGCGGGGCCGCGGGCAGGCGGAGGGGCGGGGCCGCGGGCAGGTGGAGGGGGCGGGGCTGCCTGGAGGCTGAGCCCCATCCCCGCTCCAGGCGCGCGGGCCCTGGGCCGGGCGCTGGCCTCCAACGCCGCCTTCGACTCTGCCCTGACCCACCTGGACCTTTCTGGGAACCCCGGGGCGCTGGGGCCCTCGGAGGACACCGGGGTGAGTGCGTGCGCGCCGCAGGCGGTGGAGGGTGAGGAAGTCCTGGGGGCGGCCGCCCCGGCTCACCCGCTCCCCCCCAGGGCCTCTACAGCTTCCTGAGCCGCCCCAACGTCCTGACGCGCCTGAACCTCGCGGGCACCGACGCGGCCCTGGACACTGTGAGGGGGGGGTCAGTGGGGGGCTGAGCCCTAGGGCTGGGGGCGCGGGCTTGAGCCCCGAGGGCGGGGGTGGGGGGCCTCGGCCGGCGTGGCCCACGCGTGCGTCCCGCAGCTCTTCTCGGCCCTGGCCCGGGGCTGCAGCGCCAGCCTCGCGCACCTCGACGCCTCGAGGAACGTCTTCTCCCGCACGTAAGGGGGCGGGCCGCGCGGGCGGGCGGGGGGCGGGCTCTGCCTGGGCAGCGCCCCGACACCCCCTCCTCCGCCCCCACCCCAGGAAGCCCCGGGCCGCGCCCGCCGCCCTGCAGCTCTTCCTGCGCCGCGCCGGGGCGCTGCGGCACCTGGGCCTGGCGGGCTGCAAGCTGCCGCCGGACGCGCTCAGGTGAGTGCCGCCCCCCCACCCCTGGCCTGTCTCCCCACCGCCTGCGGGGCGCCCTGGTCCGCCCCCTCTGGCCTGTCTCCCCACCACCTGCGGGGCGCCCCGGGCTCCTTGATTCACGCCCTGCGGCTCCCCCTCCCGCCGCCACTCCCTGCGCTGTCGCCTTCCAGGGCCCTTCTGGAAGGCCTCGCGCTCAACACGCACATGAGCGACCTGCACCTGGACCTCAGCGCCTGCGAGGTGAGCGCCTGCCCCAGCTTTGCGGGGTGGGGGGGGGCGGGGGGCGGCCACGAGGGGAGCCCGCCCCGCCCCGCCGGCCTCCGAGCGGCCTGTGAGCTGCGCCTTTCTCCCGCCCCTGCAGCTGCGCTCAGCGGGCGCGCAGGTGATCCAGGACTTGGTGTGCGACGCCGCCGCCGTGACCTCCCTGGACCTGGCCGAGAACGGTGAGGCTGCCCTGTCCTCCCCGCTCCCGCTCCCGCAGCACCCCACCCCCGCAGCACCCCACCCCCGCACCCCGCCTTGTGTGACCCAAGCCGCCCCCAGGCTTCGGCTCAGACATGGTGACCCTGGTGCTGGCCATCGGGAGGAGCCGCTCCCTGAGACACGTGGCGCTCGGCAGGAACTTCAACGTCCGGTGCAAGTGAGCCCCCAGCCCAGCCCCCTGCCAGGCGGCGCCCGCGCAGCTTCCCTCCCCGCCCACCTCACGCCCTGCCCGCAGGGAGACCCTGGACGACGTCCTGCACCGGATCGTCCAGCTCATGCAGGACGACGACTGCGTGAGTGCCGCCCCGGTGGGACCCCCGGGCGCTGCCCGAGCCGCCTGCCGCCCCTTGGCTGACCTCGGCCCCCGGCACGACCGGCTTTCTCCCGCCCAGCCGCTGCAGTCCCTGTCCGTGGCCGAGTCCCGCCTGAAGCTGGGCGCCAGCGTCCTGCTCCGGGCCCTGGGCGCCAATCCCAACCTGTCGGCGCTGGACATCAGCGGCAACGCCATGGGGGACGCGGGCGCCAAGTTACTGGCCAAGGCCCTCCGCGTCAACACGCGGCTCCGGTGGGTGGGGGTCGGAATGGGGAGCCCTGCCGGGAGGGGCCGAGGTGGGGGGTGAGGGTGAATGAGGGGGGCCACCGGGCGCAGGGCCGCGGCCGGCGGGGTGGGTGGGGCCTTTGCGAGCTGCGCCTCAGACTGAAGCCCCACCTGGCCCAGGTCTGTGGTCTGGGACCGGAACCAGACGTCCGCTCTGGGCCTGCTGGACGTGGCGCAGGCCCTGGAGCAGAACCGCAGCCTGAAGGCCATGCCTCTGCCCCTGAGTGACGTGGCCCAGGCTCAGCGCAGCCGCCCAGAGCTGACAGCGCGCGCAGTGCATCAGGTGAGGGGCCCCTCCTGCCCTGCCCGCCCTGCCCTGCCCCGCCCCGCCCCGCCCCGCCCTGCCCTGCCCTGCCCCAGCACCCCTCGCCCATCCTGCCCTGTCCTTTGTCCTCAGATCCAAGCCTGTCTCTTGAGGAACAACCACACGGGCCCAGTCTCTTCTGCCTGCACCTCCCATCAGAAGGCACTGGGGCTGCTCTCAGACCCCTCGGAGCAGGTCTGGCTTCCTCCAACCCGGGTCCCCACAGAAGGCGGGGGATGGAGCGAGCGGGGCCAGCTGGGGGCCTCCTTGAGTCTGAGGGGCTGACTTTCCTGGCTGCAGGGTACCCGAATCCCGCTGCCCTGGCCAAGGTCCCTCTCCTTGGCCTGGGGACGAGCTAATCAGTACAGAAAGGGTCCCCAATAATACCCCTGGCTGCATTTAAACAGACCTTCCTGTTACAGACCTGCATTATTTAAAAATCTCCTCCCTTAGCTCCCCATTCAGCTGTAGCCCCACTCACAGCATCCAGCTCACAGGACTCCCCTCACCACTGACCTCTGTCTGGACGAACTCAGTGGCCCTCTTTTTTTTTCTTTTTTTGAAGATTTATTTATTTATGCATACAAGAGCTGGGGTGCAGGCCACAGATGTGGGGGGTGAGAGGATCCACCAGAGACAGAGTGGGGAGCAGAACAGGCAGATTGACTGAAATACACTGCCGAGGGGAGCAGCGGGGAGACAGGAGAGGTCTGCCGCGCCATGTGGGCAGCTCCCTGGCCGGCCAGGAATCAAATCGGTGCTGCAGAGGCTGTGGACAGCTTCACAGCGCTGCGCGCAACCTGCTGCGCCGCCGGGGAGGCCCTCAGTGGCCCTTTTTCAGGCTTCCTCTCTCTCTGATACTTTGCCCTTGTGTGATGTTCCCACCTCCCTATTCCCAAACCCACCTCTCCCCCAAGCGTGTGAATCCGGGCGTCCTGCTAGGGCTTCACATGCTACATGCCTTCAGGTGTCCCGTGTCCTCTACCCAGGAGCCCCCCGAGCCTCACTGCCCGGGGCGGTAGATGCACGTCTCCTGGCGGACTCCCTCCGTCCTGCCCTTTGGTCAGTGCCGCTCCTCCACACACCGCCCTCCCACTGGCCTGACGGTCCATTGCTCCCCGGTGCCTCCCCCACGCTCCTCGCTCCCTTGTCTCCCCACCCCTCAGTCCACCCTCTGCGTGCACTGGGGGCAGCTCCTCTCCGCCCCGTTCCGGACACATCGGCAGTGCAGAGGCCCCGAGAGGACCCAAGGAGGCAGTGCTCTCCCTCCCTGAACAGAGAGGCCCTGCGTGGCTTGTCCGGAGGCGGGGTCTTCAGGGCCTCACCCACCCTGAAGGAGGCCCTGGGAAGGAGAGAGCCAGAGTCTGGGAGAGGACCCGGCTGGCACTGACTGCTGATGCCCCCCAGGAAGTGAACGAGCTGTGTCAGTCGGTGCAGGAGCACGTGGAGCTGCTGGGCTGTGGAGCCGGGCCCCAGGGTGAAGCTGCTGTGCGCCAGGCCGAGGATGCCATCCAAAATGCCAACTTCTCTCTCAGTGTGAGCACTGCCCTCCCAGGAAGAAGCCCCTTCTTCTCGTCGTCACGTGTCAGTTTGAAACCCCTTTACCTCCTTGGCCTCCAGATTCTCCCCATCCTGTATGAGGCTGGGAGCTCCCCAAGCCATCAGTGGCAGCTGCGGCAGAAGCTGGAGGGCCTCCTGGGACAGGTGGGCGAGGTCTGCCGCCAGGACATTCAGGTGAGATGGTACCCCTCGCCCCAGCCCCACTGCCCTATGTGCCATCTCCGGAGTCATTGTTTTGAGGGGGTCAGAGCTTCAGGCCAAGCAGCCGGGGCCCTCGCCACGCCCTCACCAGGCTCTGGCCTTTCCCCAGGACTTCACTCAGACCACCGTGGACACAACAAGGAGCCTCTGCCCTCAGATACTGCAGGGCCCCCGGTGGAGGGAGCAGCTAGAGGGGCTCCTGCTGGACTCCAGGACCCTCCCAGAGCTGCTCCCGGAGCACCTGCTGCAAGATGCCTTCACTAGGCTCAGGTGGGCTGGGTGAGACTGGGCTGGGCAGGACCGGACGGAGGCCTCCCGCTCACCCCGTTCCCTCCTCTCCCGCCCCAGGGACATGCGACTTGCCGTCACGGGGACCTTGGCAGAGAGCATTGTGGCTCAGGCCCTGGAGGGTCTGAGTGCAGCCCGGGATCGGCTGGTGAGAAGGAACTGCACTCGTGTATGTACACACACACACACACGCACACGCACACACCTGCTGAGCTGGTCACTGCCTAGGAGGTAGGGGTCCTGTAATGTCTTCTGGGGTCGTGCAGCCCAGGGGTATTTCCGAGCCCCCCTAGCACCGATGGGACTGCGACTGAGGCTCTAACGGCCCATCTTTGGGGTGCCTGGTGTTGCAGGTGCAAAGTCTGGCTCAGCAGGCGACCGTGGCAACGCCCCCCGCCCTACCGGCCCTGGACGGAGGAGAGCCCAGCCCCCTCGCGTCTGCGTCTGGGGAGTTGGACGGCCTTTTCTTCCCCGACGACGAGGAGGAGGAGGTCAGGTCACAGCACCTGGGCTGGAACAGTGGCGCTTTCCGTCTGGTGGGGGGTGAGGGCCCCGAGGCAGTTCCCCTGACGCGGACTGTCTGCATCCGCACCAGGACGACAGCGCCCCAGAGAAACGGCCCGAGACCAGCCGCCGCCTTCACCTGGCCCCCTCCGCTCCCAGTGAGTCTCAGGGCCCGGGAGGCGCCGGCTGGGTGGGGCTGAGCGCGCCGCGCCGGGGCCACCTGAACTCCTGAATCCGCCTGGCCGGGGAGCTCCCGGACCTTGGCGGGCCAGGTCCAGGCCGGCCCCGAATTCTTGCAAGGTTGGGGACATGTGGTCGGCCTGGAGGGGGACCGGGCAGCGCTGGGCCCGGACGCCGCCGCCCCCTCCCGGCCCCAGGCGCGCGCATGCCCGGTGACGGCGGAGCCGCGCGCTGTCGGGGCCGCGCTCAGCACCACGGACAGCGGTGGGGGAGGGGCGGGCGGGGGGTGGGGTGGGCGGCGTCGTCGGGGCCCCTCCCCGCGCCCTGGGCGGGTCCCCCGCCGCCCCAGCTCCGCGCCGCCGCCTCCCCGGGCCGCACGCTCGGCGCTGCTCTGGTGCGCTCCCGCAGGTGCCGCCGCGGACCCGGAGCAGGAGCCGGCGCTGGCGGCTCCCGGAGAAGATGCGGAGCCGCAGGCAGGGCCGTCCGCGCGCGGCTCGCCGAGCCCCGCCACCCCCGCGCTGCAGGCCGGGCCGCTGCCGCGCATGGACCTCCCACCCGCCGGGCAGCCCCTGCGCCATCCCACCCGGGCCCGGCCGCGGCCGCGGCGCCAGCACCACCATCGCCCGCCGGCGGGGGGTCCCCAGGTGCGTGCTCCCCCCCTGCTCCGGAGCTTATGGAATGAGGGGTCCTGGGCCGCCCGCCGCTGCCCCGGGGCCATGGCGGACAGGGATGTGGGTTGTAGGGGTGCAGAGCCACCTGGTCCTGCGGCCGTAGCTGCACCCTGGCTTCTTCCTGGCCCCCCACCCCAGACCGTGTCCAGTTAGGGTCTTGGGTGTGCCCCTGGGCATAGGACTCGGCCTCGGGCTGGGCCCCCGCCCGCTGGATATACACGAGGGTGTCCACCTTGCCCTGCCTCCCCCAGGATTACTGAGATGCCGGGTCCCTCGGCCGCGGGGACAGCCTTCCATGTAGCGCATGTCCTGCGCGTGTGTGCGGGGCGCTGTATGTGTGGACCGGGTGCCAGGGGAGACAGTGGGCACTGGGTGGAAGGGAGGGAGGCACTGGCTTGAGGCCCCCCAGAGGGTCTGACGCAGCAGCTGGCGCCGCTGAGCCGGCAGCAGGCCGGGTGGGGTGGGGGTGGGGGGACACTGCAGGGAACTGTTTGGAGCAGAGGGGGTGGCAAGTGGGAACGTGTGACCTGGGGAGCGCGTGGGCTCTAGCCTGCTGGTGGCCGGGTGGCATAGGGTACACAGAATACTCCCCGGGACAGGATGGGTGTGGGCTGGGGGTGTGCCGGGGCCAACCAGGATGAAGGGTGCAGGAAAGCACCACCAGCCCCAGCTGGACAGCAGGAGAGTTTGCGTCAGCAGCCCCTTGGGGTAACCCCTGCGTCCAGGTCCCCGAGTTGCCCAGTCCAGGCCCCTGGACAAGGGATCAAGGGTGCACCCGGCCCTGACCCCGAGGTGTCCTCCAGGTGCCCCCAGCCCTGCCACAGGAAGGGAATGGGCTCAGCGCCCGGGTGGACGAGGGCGTGGAAGAATTCTTCTCCAAAAGGCTAATCCAGCAGGACCGCCTGTGAGTAAGGGCAGCTGTGAGGGGGGAGGGGGAGGCAGGGTGGGATGCTCCGCGGGCCCCCCCGCTCACTGCTGGCTGTCCCCCCAGCTGGGCTCCTGAGGAGGACACGGCCACCGAGGGGGGTACCACCCCCGTCCCACGTACGCTGCGGAAGAAGCTGGGCACCCTTTTTGCCTTCAAGAAGCCTCGTTCAACACGTGGGCCCCGGCCTGATCTAGAGACCAGCCCTGGGGCAGCTCCCCGTACCCGGAAAACCACACTTGGGGACTTGCTTAGGCCCCCAGCCCGTCCTGGCCGGGGCGAGGAGCCCGGTGGGGCCGAGGGCGGCAGCCCCGACCCTACTCGCAGGAGCCGACCTCGCTACACGCGGGAGAGCAAGGCCTACTCCATGATACTTCTGCCTGCGGAGGAGGAGGAGGCGACTCTGGGTGCCAGACCCGACAAGGTGAGGCCCGGCCCGGGCGCGGGGGCTGCCGGGACTGAGGGTGGCCGGCTCTCACCACTCTGGCACGTCTCCCCAGCGGCGGCCTCTGGAGCGGGGGGAGACGGAGCTGGCCCCGTCCTTTGAACAGCGGGTACAAGTGATGCTGCAGCGCATCGGCGTGAGCCGGAGCAGCGGGGCCGCTGAGGGCAAGAGGAAACAAGTAAGTTGGGAGGACCCGGGGGTGTGTGTGTGTGTGGGGGGGTGACCCGGGGCCAGGACTCAGGATGGACGGGTCTCCCGGTCAGCGCCCCGCCCTCCTCCTCCTCCCCCCAGCACCCTACCTTTCTTCCCTGCTGGCTCCTGCTCTGGCGCAGCCCCCCGAGCGCGCCTCCTCCCCCCAGCCCCGCCACCCCCACCTGAGACAAGTCCTCCGGTGCCCCCCTCGGTGACACTCCGTTGACGCCCGGCCCTGCCTGGCCGGGCATGGAGCTTTCGTCTCCCTGCCCCCCACCTCCCTCTGGCACTCCCGGCGGCCTCACCGCCCCGGGCATTCCCCAGGTTCTCTTCGCCCAGCCTCTGCTCAGGCCCCTAGTAAGAACCGCAGCTCTGCCAACATCCGTTTAATAACTTTCGAGACAATCCGGGCCACGCGGGGCTAGACCCGGGCTGACAAGCGCCGAAAGGCGGGGAGTGAATCAGTTAGGAAAGGGGGGACGCGCCCAGCCTGCACCTGGGCCGAGAAGGAACTCGAGGGCTGGGCGGGCCTGGAGCCTGACCCCCTGTTCCTACAGAGCAAAGACGGCGAGATCAAGAAGGCCGGCTCGGACGGTGAGTGAGACCCGGGCTGGGGAGCACGCGTGGGGGCGGGGCGCCCCCAGGTCTTCTTACCCTCACGCCTAAGCCGGCGCCTGACCCCCGGCCCCCCGCTGCAGGTGACATCATGGACAGCTCCACGGAGGCGCCGCCCATCTCCATCAAGTCCCGCACCCACTCGGTCTCTGCTGGTGAGCCGGGCACGGCCGTGCTGGGGGGTGCTGGGGGGCTGGCGCGTGGGGCCGAGGTCACGGGGCCGGCCAACCGCCCATGCCCGGCCCGGGTCCATCCCCTTTCTCCTGGCAGACCCCTCGTGCAGACCTGGGCCGGGGGGCCAGGGCCCCGAACCCACCACCTGGAAGTCGCTGGGGCAGCAGCTGAACGCCGAGCTCAGGGGCCGTGGCTGGGGCCAGCAGGATGGCCCCGGCCCCCCCTCCCCTGGCCCCAGCCCCCGAAGAGCCACCCCGTCTCCAGACAGCTTGGGCCTGCCCGAGGACCCCTGCTTAGGGCCCAGGAATGCAGGTGTGCGGGCACCCTGGCCCCCACCCGAATACTGGACTGGGGACCAGGTGTTTCTGCAGAGAACTCCGCTCCTCTGGGACCCTAAGAGGGAGGTTAGGGCTGGGGTGGGGCTGCTTTCCCCCCTACCCTGAAACCCCGACCTCCCCCAGATGGCCAGCTGAGGCCCAGGCCCCTCTCGGCGGGGCGACGCGCCGTGTCTGTGCACGAGGACCAGCTCCAGGCCCCTGCTGGTGAGCGGGAACACCTCCATGGGCGCCCGGACACAGGAGGAGTGGGGAGGTCACGCGCCCGGGCTCCCTTCGTGGCTCTGGTCCTTGGGGGAAGCCGCTGACGGTCTGTGGGGGCAGAGAACTCGGGGAGCCAGAGGGCCAGGAGCAAGGGTCTGGCCGCAGCCCTTGCCCCTGGCTCCCCCTCCAGAGGAGCAACGTGCGCAGCGCCTGCGCACACGCACTGTGGGCGGGAGAAGGGGTGGGGGCACGCAGCAAGCCCTCAGCACCCCACCCCAGGCCTTTCTGTGCTCCTCAGAACGGCCCCTGCGGCTGCAGCGCTCCCCTGTCCTCAAGCGCAGGCCAAAGCTTGAGGCGCCCCCCTCTCCCAGCCTAGGTAAGCGGGGGCTGGGCCGGAGGGGAGGGGGACAGGCCCGCTCAGTCCAGTCCTGCTCCTTCCTCTGCTTTCCCTCTGCAGGAGCTGGTCTTGGAGCGGAGCCTCTGCCTGCACAGCCCACAGAGCCGCCCAGCCCGGAGCAGAACCCCCCCTCCCCAGCCACAGACCAAAGAGGCGGCGGCCCTGACCTCTGACCCTCCCCTTTCCTGCCGCATGAGATTATTTTATTAAAAAACTCAAAGGAAGAGCGCGAACGCTTTGTCCCGCGAGCACAGACCTGCGTGCCGTCCTCTGGCGCGCGCGGGGCCGCTCACGGCGGGGTGGGCGCGGGCTCCGGCTCCATCAGCAAGTGCAAGGCCCAGGCCACCAGCTGGGGAGGGAGCCTGGGGAGAGACCACGGCTGCGGGTCCATGCAGGCTGGCCCCGGACTGGGGACCGGACAGCGCGGGCAGGCCAGGCGCTCACCTCACAGCTTGGACCTGGGCACAGAGGGAGGCGCCGGGCGCGTCATACGCATACTGGAAAGCAGAGCCATCGCCGTGTCTCCTCGGAGGGTCCTGCAAGGAGTGTGGTCTCAAACAGGAGCCAACAAGGACCAACGTCCCTCCTCCCAGTCTCCCCCAAGGCACGTGCCATGATGCAGCCCTCCGGCTGAGGGGGGCGATGCTCACCCAGGCAGGACTGGACGCTGAGGCTTCCTTGGTGGCTCCTGCCCTCCGAGAGGAGTGCCAGTTCTTGCCAGGCAACCCCAACTCCTTACACTCTAGGTTAGATTTCTGGGTCCTGGTCCCTTGGGCCCGGTATGGACTGGGGACGTGGCCAAGGGGTGAGAAACTTGGGGGGCAGTTAAAGAACAAGGAGTCAGGTACACTGCTGAGGTGTGGGGACCTGGGGGCTAAGGGGGTAGGGGATGGGGTAGCCGAGGACCGGGCAGTCAAAAGGCTGGCGCTGGCCTCACTTTCTTCTGTCAGTGCATGGCTGGACAAGGCAGGGGTTCCTGGGGAGGAGAGAACTCACTGTGTGCACAGCCCTCCCAGCTCAGCTCAGGCCAGCAGTGACCCGTGAGCCCAGGCAGCCGTGCAGCCCGGCTGGCAGAGACGACAGAGTGCTTGTGGCCGGCACGCCACTCACCTGAGGAGCTGGATGAGGACGAGATCAGGGTCAGAGACAGGTCCTGAAGAGCAGAGTCCGATGGGGGCAGCTCAGGCCGTGCGGTCAAGGGAGGCTTCTCGGCGCTGGGGGAGCTGAATCCCCAGGTACTCCAGTTTGGACCGCTCCAGTCTTCCTTACCCTGTGGCCTCTGAGCCCGGTCCAGACAGCTCAGGATTCGCTGCTCACTCTCAGATATACACAGATAGACGGTGGGGACAGTGTACACAGCTTCATCCTGTGGAAGGGGAGCGCTCAGCCTAGCCCGTGCCCGGTTCCTCCTCACCCTGGCATTTCCCAAGGGAAGCCCCAAACTGACCATCGTCCTGTGGCGTAAAGCGGCCCAGCGGGTGAGGCAGGGTGCCGTGCAAGGGCCTGCCAGCATCAGACAGCTCTCAGCCAGGTGCACGAGCGCCCCTCTGTGGTCCTGGTCCTCCTGGACGTCATCCAGAAGTTGGGACAGCGAAGGGCCTGGAGGCGAGGAAGCAGGACATGGGCAGAAGCTCCCAGTGGAGCGAGGGGAGGGAGGGGCGGCTGGGGAAGAGGTCTCATTAAAAAAGCAGGGAGAGACGGCTGGAGGGGGTCACGCTCCAGAGTGAGTCACTGGTCAAGCATCTTACAAGTACCTGCACTGAGGGAAGTGGACTCTGAAAGGTGCTCCCTAAAAAAGCAGAAAGGACAGGGCTGAGGCACCTCCCCAGGCTTGTCTGCCCAGATTTGGCAACCGCCCACCCGGCCACACTTGGCCCCGGAGCCCAACCCCATACTCACGCCAGGCAGTCATAGAGCTTTTTCCGCACGTCGGGGTCCTGATTGCTGGGGGGAGAAGGGGGGCGGGCAGTCAGTGTCACCAGGAGGGCCCGGGCCAACGCCGGCCCGCCCAGCCCCGGGGGAGGAGGTGGGCCGGCGGGCGGAGACCGCACTCACCAACTGCGCACAGGTGCGGGGCGCTGCTCCATGGGCAGCAGGCTGAAGCGGTGCACCTGGAGGTAGAACTCCGCGGTCTGGGGGGCGGGTGCAGGGTCTCAGGCGTCGTCACGAAAGCCCCGCCCCGCCCCGCCCCGCCCCGGCCGCCCCGGCACGCACCGCACTCTCCTCGTGGACGCGGACGCGGGCCGCGCAGTCCTGCAGCAGCACGAGCCGGCCTTCGGCCCCGCGGAAGCCAAACTCCTCCCTGCGGCGAGCGCGACCTCCACAGCGGGCCCCAGGGAGCTCCGCCCCCGCCCCCCGCGCGCCCCGCACCCCGGCCCCGGGCCCCGCGGCGCTCTCACCCGCACGACCCGCTCAGGGCCTCCCGCGTCACCAGGCACCGGACACTGTGGGTCCCGTCAGACACCAGCAGCTCGGCCCCCGAGTCGGGCGCGTCAGGGGCCCAGGACGGGCCGGGGGCGTCGGGCTCCTGCAGCACCTGCCGGCGGCCACCGGCGTCAGCCGCCCCGCCCCGGCGGCCGGCCCAGGTGTGCGCGCCCCGAGAGGGATGGGGGGCTCACCTCGAGCAGCTGCCCCGCACGCGGACTGGAGAGCGTCCCCGGCCCCAGGATGAGCTCTCTAATCCAGCGCCTCAGGGCCAGGCTCCCCAAGTCCGCCATCCCGGCAGCCGCGCCCCGCCCGGCGCCGCGAGCCAGGGTTTCCCGCGGACGCCGAGGCCCCGCCCCCGCCGGAAGAGGAAGCGCGGGGCGGGTGGGCGGGGCTTGCGGTCTAGGCCCCGCCCCGGCGCTGCCCGCGCGTGCGCATTGGCGCGTCCTGGCGGGAACTTGCCGCCTCCCCCTTTCAACTCGGCCGGGCGTTTGAGTCCGGCGGCACCGGGCAGAGTAGGGCCGAGCGCGGGCTTCAGGGCTGAGGACGGGATCTGCAACTTGAGGCTGCGGCCGAGGCTGGTCCCGTGGTGAAGGGCGGGGAGGCAGCGCCACGCCCCCTCCAGGCCTGTGCCCCCGCGGGCGCGGGAGGCGCGTGCTCCGACCCGGTGTCCTCGCCCGCACCGCGCGCGGCCCCGCCAGGCCGTGGGAAGAGCAGCGCCCCGGCAGCTGCCCGCGCGCGCCAGCGCTCCCACTCGCGCTCGATTGGTCGAGCCCCGCTCCCGGCCTCCGGGGACGCGCGGGCCGTAGCGTGATGACGTGAGCGCCCGGAGACGCCCCCGCCCACACCCCCGTTTCCTAGGAAACGTAGACTCCGCTCACCGCTCCGTCGCAGTCCCCTTGACGTCACGGTCCGGAGGGCGGGGCGGGGCGAAGGCTCCGCCAGGGGCGGGGCGGCGCGGGCCGGCCGGCCGGGTTGTGCACCTGCGCCTCGGCGGGCCGCCTGGGGCAGCGTCCCCGGCCCGCCGGCCCCGCCATGGCCAGGCCGCAGAGGGCTCCGGCGCGCAGCCCCGACAGCATCGTCGAGGTGAAGAGCAAAGTAAGGGCCCCGCCGGCCCCGGCTCCGGCCCTAGGCGCCTCCAATTCCCGACTTCTCCCCTCGCTGGCCCCTCGGCCCCACCACCTTCTCTCCTCCATCCTCCTCGTCCCATGCCCGGGCTTCTCCGTTCTTTCCCCCATTCATCATCCTCCCTCCACTGCCAAGCTCCTTCCACTCGGTCCGGGTACCCGAGGGCGGGGAGACCTTGGACAGCGTCCCTTGCGCTGGGGCCGAGGTCCAGGCGCAGGGCTGCAGCTGTTGCAGCCGCACTACATTTCCCACCCCTGCCACCCTCGGGCCAGCGGCGAGAAAGGGGCGCGGGCTCCGTCCTGACCCCTCCTCTTCCTCCACCCTCTGCACCCAGTTTGATGCCGAGTTCCGACGCTTCGCGCTGCCCCGCGCTTCGGTGAACGGCTTCCAAGAGTTCTCCCGGTTGCTGCGTGCGGTGCACCAGATCCCAGGTCTGGACGTGCTGCTCGGCTACACGGATGCTCACGGCGACCTACTGCCCCTCACCAACGACGACAGCCTGCACCGGGCCCTGGCCAGTGGGCCCCCACCGCTACGCCTGCTGGTGCAGAAGCGGGGTGAGGAGGATAGGGTAAAACGGGCAGCCTCCGTGGGGTAGGATGACAGCAGGTCTACCAGGGTTAGTCCATGCCCAGGGCACCCAGGCTTCATTCTCTGCAGCCCCTGCCCTTGGCCTGACCTCCAAGTGGTAGGAAATAGCTACAGTGCCCCCTCCCCCAGGCCTGGGCCAGGTGGAAAAGGGCCCGAGTGGGAGAGCAGGGTCTCTGATCTCAGCACCTCCCTCTCCTGCAGCAGCAGCTGACTCCAGCAGCCTGGCTTTTGCTTCCAACTCTCTGCAGCGGCGCAAGAAAGGGCTCCTACTTCGGCCAGTGGCACCCCTGCGCACCCGGCCACCCCTGCTAATCAGCCTGCCCCAAGATTTCCGCCAGGTTTCTTCAGTCATAGATGTGGACCTACTGCCTGAGACCCACCGACGGGTGCGCCTGCACAAGCATGGTTCTGACCGCCCTCTGGGCTTCTATATCCGAGATGGGATGAGCGTTCGTGTGGCTCCCCAGGGCCTAGAGCGCGTGCCAGGCATCTTCATCTCCCGCCTGGTACGAGGGGGCCTGGCTGAGAGTACGGGGCTGCTGGCTGTCAGTGATGAAATCCTCGAGGTCAACGGCATAGAGGTGGCTGGAAAGACCTTGGACCAAGTGACAGATATGATGGTCGCCAACAGCCACAACCTTATTGTCACTGTCAAGCCAGCCAACCAGCGCAATAATGTGGTGCGTGGGGCATCTGGGCGTCTGACGGGGTCTCGCTCTGCTGGGCCTGGGCCTGTTGAGCCTGATAGTGATGACGACAGCCGCGATCTGGTCATTGAGAACCGCCAGCCTCCCTGTTCCAATGGGCTGTCTCAAGGGCCTTCCTGCTGGGACCTGCATCCGGGCCGCCTACTTCCTGATGCCCGCAGCTCTCTGCCGTCCCTGGATGATCAGGAGCAGGCCAGCCCTGGTTGGGGGAGCAGCATGCGAGGGGATGGTAGTGGCTTCAGCCTCTGACAGGCACGAAGGCAGCCCTTGCCACTCCAGGCTGCTGGGACATGGCAGGGACTTGCCCAGGGGGGGCTTTCCAGCTCGCTACAGGACCCTTTCAGTCTGGGGAACATTAAAGATTTTCTACAAATGCAGTCATGATCCCTCTGTGTCCCAGCCTCCGCCTTGATCCCACAGCCTTGTCTTCTGCCCTGGACATGAGGCAGGAGTGGTAAGGACAGTAGGCAGACCTTCCTGCAGTCAAGCCGCAGGAGGGTCGCTGGGCTTGGGATTTCTAGGGTAAGAAAGCTCTTATGGAAACAAACCTCACTGTGTACAAAAGGTTTAATTTTGACAAACGGGTTAAGAGGGTGGGAGGGCCCTTCTGCAGTCAAGAGCTGAAAAGAGTGCTCTGGGGACGCCGCCCATCCCACGGCTGCTAGCCTCAGACTCCAGGCCGCATGTCCTGACCCTGCCTTTTGTGGCCATATGGTCATCCTCAACATGGACTCCCCTGTAATCACCCCCCTAAAGGGGCTCAGGTATCCATCTTCACGAAAACCTTGGGGCGGGAAAAGATCTTGATAGCTTCCTCTACCTGCACCAGCTTCCGGTCCAGCTCCGCACGGTGGCCTTGGGCCCTCAGTGAGTCTGCTCCAGCAGGCAACAGCACCAGCTCACGCAGCAGCTGGTGTTGGCCTACAGGGGACCCAGGAACAGTGAGTGCTAGGCAGGGGTGCATGGTCCCCAGGGGGTTGCCCCTCCAGCCCTGCCCCCCGCCCCGTGCCCAAGGACTCACTCTGGAGCAGACTGCTCAGGGTCTCCAGCCGCTGGTTTTCGGGCATGCAGACATGGCCAGGGGGCATGGTAGGGTCCGGCTGGCTTTGCTGGCGGGCCTCAGCCTCCCGCCGCCACAGATCCCTGCGTTCCAACAAGCTGTGGAGGCACAGGCTCAGGGTTGGTGACCCTGGCATAGGTGTTGGCTCCCACCCTCCACAGGGGCCCCTCACCCTGGGTGCTGGGCAGTGGGACCTACTAAAGGGGCACATGGCCCTTTTGCGTGGCATTGTAGTGCTCCTGGGCTTGCCGTTGTTGCTCCAGCACCTGTGCCAAGACCTGCAGTGAGCGGGAATGCCGCCGGGGGGCCCTCTTGGCAGTGCGGGCATTGTGGCTAATGAAGTCCACTCCTAGGCCTGGTCCCTGTAGGACACAGCGGTCACGATGAGGCAGAAGACCCTGCATCGTGTCCTTGAGCCCCCCAGGATCCCTGCCCCACCACCCAGCTCTTACACATCTGCTCACCTTAGCATTGGGACCTGATGGGGTTAGCTGGGGGCTGGGGACGCGGGGCGGAGGGAGCCCAGGGCCGCAGCGAGAGTGGGCCCGCAGGAAGTGGCCAGGCTCTGCCCCAGAGGCAGGGCTGGGTTCCTGGTGGGCAGGGCAGAGCAGAAGGACCGGTCAGGCTGGGGTCAGGATCTCAAGCCACAAGACCCTGCTTCTGTCCCCCCCACCTCTCAGGGGCTTTCATTTTCCCCAGTCCTGTGTGCCTCCTCCCTCTTGAAGGAAAGCCTATCAGTTTTTAAACTGTGCCTCTCACGTGTTTAAGAACAACCACCAGCCTCCCCTCCTACCTCAGGCCTGAACCCAGCTACCATTCTCTTTCTTCTCTTCTTAGCCAAGCGTCCTGGGTCTGGCCCAACCGGGTTCTCAAATCCAGGCTCCCTTCCTGGTCATCTCATCCTCAGCCTGACACTGAATTACTACTGGACTCTCTCCTCAAACCCCGACCATCCATGTGTTTCCTGAACACACTCCAGCCCTCAGGACCCACAAATGCTTCAGCCTCAACACATCTGCATGATTTTGTTGTTTCTCTGCAATCCTGCTCCTCCTTCTGAGGTCCACGGATAGAGATAGGGTGCTAATACCCACCCAGGTCAGAACCCCGCCCCAATGGTCCAGCCCCTGCCCTCCAGAAGTGGTGATGGGGTTCTTTACGGTGTGGGTCTAGCTGACTTCTGAGCCTACCCTCGTGCTCGTATCCTCTCCCGTGGGCCGTGCACACCATCCCTACTGCTCACACTCCCTCTGCTCTCGGGGCATCTACGTGCGAGGTTCCATTTCTATAGAATGTTCTCTTCCATTCTCCCCTTGCCTAATTACTGTTTACCAGCCAAGATCACCCAGGTGTTACCACTTCTGAGAAACCGCCCACACCCCAGCTCCACCCTCCAGCAGACAGCCGTTTCCTATTGCCTCGGTTCCCTGTGATTTCCTATAACCCGGATCGGGGCCTAGTGGTCAAGAAGATGCACAGTCCCTCTGGCTGCCCGAGGCAGGTACCTGCAGCTGGGCCTTGACCCGGGACTCCACTTTGTCGTACTTGGGCGATCGCCACAGAGCCTTCAGGGGCCTGGGCGGGCCCTGCTCCCGGCTGCGCTCCTGCTCCCGGAAGCGCCTCTGGATCTCCCTGATGCGCCTCAGATTCTCTTTCTCATGGTCTTTAGGGTCCTTCCCTGGGGAAAAGATGCTGCCAGGCTCTGCCCTACAAATGACCCATGCAATCCAGCTCCAATGGGTTGACACACTGGGCCACACCCCACTTCCCACCAGAAGAGCTCCCTCTTTCTGCATGGCCTTGAGCCATTTGCCTTGGCTATCAATTAGGACCTATACAGCTATTCCACCTCATTACCTTGTTCCCTGCCTCACACAGTAACTATTTCCTTCCGTCCCAGATTGTTTTCTACGTTTTCCTTGCGAGGTACACCATTAATTATCTTGTATGTCATAATCATTCTTCGCTTGTCTCCCACCTGATGACGGCAGATGTGTGTCTTCAACCTTGTTTTCCTCGGCCTACAGGGCCTGACACACAACAGGCACTCAAAGGTTGTTCCAGGATACATGTGTGTTCCTGAAGCTAAGCTAGGGCTTCCCGCCAGGACCTCTTTCAGTCCTCTCCTGCCGGAAGTTAGTGCGTTCCCTGCCTTTTCTAGTTGGGGAAAGTGAGAGGTAGAGAGGCAAAGCGTGAGCCCAGGTTGGGGCAGGAGGCGCAGCAGCGTTTGATCTCAGCCTTTTAACCGGGCATCCGCCCAGAACTTACTCTTGGGAGAGGCCCCAGAGCGCAGAGTGATGCCCCCGAGTTGCAGGAGCACTCCCCCCACGCCGTGCTGGCCACGCTCCAGGTTCTTTCGGGCTTCAGGACCGCTGCGAGGGCCGCGAGGAGGGGTGGTGTCCAGGTTCGGGTCCCAGGTCAGCAGGTCCATCTTCAGCGCATTTCCCTCCAGACGCCCTTGGGCTGTGGGGTTGACGGGGCGGGAGTGCGGGCCTCAGAGGTGGCGCTGGCCCCAGCCCGGCTCCTCTCCCTACCCCGCCCCAACTCACCCGAGGCCGGTCGCCGGTAGTAGTCAGGGCAGAGCGAAGGGTCTGGGGGAATGGGCCCCGAGAGGCGGGACGGCCCCTCGCACATGCCGCGGCCGCCGTCCTGCAACGGAGCAGCGAGGCCTGCCGGGGTGCGCCTCTCCCACCCCCAGCCCCCTTCCTCCGCCCCGCGCCTCCTCCCGGAACGGGGACCCTGACCCTGGCCAGGCCCGCCATTCCCGGGCTTCCGCCCCGCCCCCCGGCCCCCGCCCGCCGCCAGCGCTCTCGGATCCCGAGACCCCGGAGAGTCCGCGGCCCGGCTCGCGGCTCCTCCCCCGCAAAACCCAGGCAGGGGGCTCACACGAGCAGTTTGGCCGCCTGCAGCTACAACCGACGGGTTCCTGTTGCCAGGCAACAGTGGTTTCCGTACCTGAGGTCAGGGGCCAATGCCCTTGGCGCAAAGTCTTCTGGGGCTTGTAGTTCCCGCTGAGCGTGGGGCCGCGCCAGTCAGTTTCCCTTGCTACCCACCCAGGCCTTTGCCTCCGGGCCCCTTCCTCAAGCAGCCGGAGGACGCGCTGACCTTGTGCAGTCATGGCCTCAGCAGAGCCTGAGGGGAAACCAGGAGCCCAGGAGGGGCCGCCCCCAGCACCACCACAGCTTGCAGAGGCAATGGGCGGCCGTGTTCAGAGCTCAGAGGTGACTGACCGCTGGGGCCCAAGCTGTGCGACTCAACCTCCTAACTGGCAGGACAGCCTACACCGAAGGGAGGGGCGTGGGCTGGTGCCTTTTATCCCATTTGGTGTCTAATGTCAAGTGTCTAATGACTGATCCCTTAATCCTCTGCCTGGTCATAAAGACCAGTTACGCTTGTCACCTCTAGTGTCCTGTGACAGGAGACCGGTGCCTGGTGCCAGCCCATGAAGCCTGCTGGACCCAGGGTGAAGATAAGTGCCCCACAGGACCCGTCTCAGAGCCAGCGCTCCAAGAGGGCAGACTCCAGTTGGAGGAAGAGAGGCTCAAGCCAGAGGTGGAGGCGTTGGAGGAGAGAGGCCCCAGGCCTATGACCTCCATTGTGAGGCCCAGTCATGGTCCCAAGAGGAAGCCAGTCAAGTGAGGGGGCTTTCAGAGGGAAGGAGTTGCAGGTCTGGGGTGGAAACCCACACCTGACTAGGGTCCCTAAGTCATGTACTCTGGCAGGGTGGTGAATCCCTGTCCTCTGCCACTACCATCGCATCTTACCTTTCTGTCCCTCAAGAGCCCTGGTGGTAGAAACACGAGAGGGAGGGGGTCTCAAGACCTTGTGGAGGATTGAGCTCCATGAGCTCTTGGCTTCTGTCTGGCCTTGGGCCTCACTGACCAGGAAAGGGATAGGAATCTTGGGCCTAGGGTGGTGGGTAGGCAGGGCGATTTCCTGGGCTCAGGGCACAAGAGCCAAGACTGGAGGCTGGCTCCTCAGGCCTCCTGTCCCCGGCTCTGGTCCCCCAGCCTCCCAGGGCCTAGCCACCAAGCCCATCTTAGGACTGAAGCTGAGCTGCCACCGGGGCTACCGCTGCAGAGGGAGGAGCCAGAAGGTAGCCAAAGTGAGCCCTCACCATCAGCTAAACAGCACAAAAAATCCAAGAAGCGCAAGAGTCTGGGAGCCCCAGTGCTTCCAGCTGTGGCCAGCACAGCATCAGCACCCTCGGAAACCTTGGGTCTGGAGCGTGAGTGGCAGCCCCTGGCCTTCCCTTTTTCCCCTGCCTGCTTGGCCCCGACATGACGCAGCCTGGTACTCCAGCCCCTGCCCTACCCTGGGTCCTTGCAGGAAAGGCCCAGCGGCTGCGCCCCCTGTACCAGTACATCAACTACTGCAATCCTGAGCTGAACCAGGCAGGGGAGGGGGACAGGGAGGCCGAGGTGGACGTGGAGCCTGAGTCGGAGTTGGCCCTGGCCCCTGAGGAGGCGGCTGTGGAGCAACTACAGGTCTTGCTGCCCATCGCAGGTGAGCTGGGGTCAGGCCTCACTGTGCCCTGCACCACTACATTCCTGGCCCCCACCCAGGGACAGGAGGCTGGAGAGGAGCCTGGGGGTTTGCCCAACCTGGGGGTCAGCGGCTGCCTCAAGGCTGAGGTGGATAAGTCAACCCAGGTGGACATCGACAAGATGCTGAGCGTCTGTGCTGCCCCTCTCGTACCCCCACTTTCTCCTCAATACAAGTGACTGGCTCCCCTCCCCCCAGTTCTGAGCCACAGCGGCGGGCTGTGGGCCTAGGCCCTCGGGTGGAGGGGGCAATTGGGCCGCTACTTGGAATCTTGGACTAGTTGAAAATAAATGTTTTTTTCTTTGTGATTCCCCAAGTAAGAAGCCTGAAGAGGGAGAGACTGGGAAAGACATCAAATTCCCCAGAGCCGGGGCTGAGGCCCGACTCGTCAGTTGGCTCACCCAGGAGCTTGACAAAAAACACAGATCTGCAAGGCTAGGGTCTGGTTCTGTGCTTCTGAGGCTCCCCACTTGAAACTGAGGATCACACAGGCTAACAGTGGGGGATGGAGGAGGCGAGGAGGAGGAACCTGGGGCAGGTTGTGGGAAGCAGGTACTTGGCCTTCCTCCCTGTCTCCCAGGAAATAGGGTTGCATCTGGTCTGGCCTTGAGGGGACCAACACTGTGATCCCCTCCGAGGTGGCAGAGTCCCTTTGCCTGCCCCGAGGAGGGCAGCTCTGGGGTGCTCTCCACTTGCTGCCAAGCCACCGCTGGGCTAGACTGTGTCCCCATAGAGCGCCTGGCAGGCCGGGGGCATTGGGGGAGGAGAACCACTCCCTGAAGCCCTAGGGCCCAGCCACCCCATGACTGCTGGTTCTTGCCCTCAGGGGTCTTTGAGAAGAGGGAGCCAGTGGTGACCATTTTGGAACCCCTCTTACCCTCTGCCTCTGGCCCCCTGCATGTCCCCCAGACACCTCAAATATAGTAATTCCAAGTTAAATGATTTATTTCTCCCCCCCCATGTCTTTTCCTCCTATATTTCATCTACACAATCATTCAAGCTACAACCATTGGTGTCACCCCAGACCCTGCTCTGTTCTATTTGTTGACCCCCACAAGCTAATCAGGCTGGGGAATCTACCCTCTCAGACTGACACAGACCCCACAGTTTGCACCTTTGTCTGGCCCACCTGTAGAGTTTGAGTTTCCTGGCCTGTGGTCTCTTGCCCCACCAACCCACCCAGTGATCCTGCTACACACACCCCTGAACTCCAGCCTGTGCTGCTCCCCCTCTGGCACCCTGCTCCACTTGCCCCAGCTGCCTTAAAACTTTTCAGTGGCTCCCTATAGTTCCCTGACCAGCTGCGCCTTTCCTGACCTCCACTCTCTGCTAAAAGACCTTTATTCCTCCCCACCCCCGCCAGAACACACCTTCCCTTGAAGACTGGGGTACCCTGCTTCCGGCAGAGCCACCAGTGTTGCCCTGCAGCTAACATCCCCAGAGGGTCATGGTGGGTTATCACCACCTTCAGACTAAATCGAGTGCCCCGTCATGTCATTTATCCTCCACCTGGCAGGTGTATCCTGGCTGTCACCCCAGATCCATCCTGTTCTTTGTCCCTTCCCCGTTCTGCCCTTCATGCTGCTGTGCAAGCAACCTCTCTGAAATGTCAGGCTGAGACTCCTCCCTGCCTTACACCCCTCCTCACTGCCAACCTGGCCTCCTGATGGCCATGCCCTGTTGTCAACCGCGCCGCCTTCCTACGTGGGACTGGCATCTTCTTCAGTAGCTTCATCCCTGGCATACCCTCTGCCTAGAAGGCCACCGAACTCTCTGCTTCAGCCGTCAGCTGGAGGGCTCCCCCCTCATTCTTCCTCCCAGAGGCAAGTGGCAGTCACCCCACCTCCTCTCCCCCACAGCCTCAGTTCTCGGCTCTTCTTTGACTTGTTCCTTGAGGCTGGCTGGCTCAACATTTCCCCCTTAGAGCAGTAGTGGCGACTTGTTCCTCTCTGTCACCCCCCCTGCTTAGACAAGCATGTCACGTAACAGGCTTCAGGGAATTCTATGACTACCAAGGCCACCGGGAGACCAGGCTGGCCGAGTGGCAGGGAGGAGGGGTGTAAGACAGGGAGGGGTCTTGACCTGACATTTTGGAGGGGCAGCTTGGGCAGCGGTGTACGGGGCTGTGAGGAGGCTGCTGCCACTGGCTATGAGGCTAGATTTGGTGGCAGTGTGGGGGCTGGAAAATAAGGAACATCTGTTCTGGAAGCTTTTTTTTCCTGGTAGCTGCAACAGAAAAAGCGAACTGCTCTGTGTCTGGGCTGGAACAGCTACTTTGACACAAGGAAGATCCTGAGATTTGGGAAACAAGTTCTGGGAGATGCTACCGCTTCCCTCCAGGAGGGGGCGCTGCAGGACAAGTCTGGAACCAAATCTGCTCTCAACCCCTGGGCCCCAGAAATCCTGCAACTTCTGTGGCCACAGGCATCTGGGCCACCTCAAGGAAAACCCCTCATTCCTGACAAAGAACTGACCCACAAGATGCACAGTGGATGGAGGGGTTTGCTTGGTCAATTCCTAAATTTAGGAGTGATCTCAACATCCTAGAAACACACAAAAGGACTGACCTGGAGCGGAGCTGATCTCCCTAGAAGGAAGGGGTGGCCTCTCCTGTTCAGCTCTCCAGCGTCCTGCCAGGTGGGGCTCTCTGCCATCCAAGTCCCAATTCAGGCAAGGCTGAGATTCGGCTGCGGAGAGAAGGCCGTCACCTGGGAAGGAACCTGAGCAGAGGGGTGTGATCTGGGCACTCAGACACTGGGGGTCCACAACTGCTGGGGAAAGAGTATTTCAGGGTCAGGTACTGTAGTCAGAGGGCCCTGTCTTGGCTGCTGGTGCTGTCAGTTATAACTTACATGAGGCCAGTAACTTTGCCCCTCTCTGCCTTAGTTTTCTGATCTGAATAATGGGAATATTTATAGTTATAGCTCAGAGTGGTTTGGATATTAAGTGAAGTAACTATCTATCCTGGGAGCCCAGCATGCAAGAAGCACACCCCAACACAAGCCACTATTATTTTATCTCACAAGGACAATGTTTGAAATCAGGACAACACAGGAAAAGAGGCCTGGTGACTCCTGAAGAAGGGGTGCCAAGAGGAAGAGCCTCCCCGAGCCTTTCTCATGCTGGCAAGGAGCCCAGGGCAGGGCAACGCGGGGCTGCTAGAGAAGGGAAGAGTTTGCTCTAGTTGACCTGGCAGAGGGAACAAAAGAGGCGCATGCGTGCTTCCCCACCAGCCACTGCTGACATGGGGACAAACACAGAAAAGAGTTAATAAAAGCATGGCTGGTGACTGGCTGTCCGGCCTGGCCAACTTCCTCTTCATCCTGTCCAGCTGCCCTGGAACCCCCCCGCCACCGCCCCGAACCTCCCTTCCAGGGGGATCTGGTGGACACAACTCCATGGTTCGAGAACAGACACCCCCTCACCCCAATCCCCTCACCCTAATCCCTTGATCCCACCGTCCTCCCAACTTCAGCCCAGCGAAGTACCAAGCTCTCTTCCTCTGACGCAGTGGGCCCAACAGGTCCCCATCAGAAAGTCTTGGGCCCTGTTCTCTGAGTAAAGACTTTTCTCTGGAAGACTCCTGGGATTTGGCCACAGGAAAGAAGTGGGGAGATGAGGAGGAGCAGTGGCAGCAGCCTGTGCGGCTCACTAGACAGTGAGATCCAGGTTGGGCAGGGCAGGGGCGCCAAGAAACAGAAACAATCTAAACAGACAAGCTTTTTGTTATTAAAAAAAACTCACCAGGGCCTCCCTGGTGGCACAAGGGGTTGGGATGCAGCTTATGAAGCTGTCTGCAGCCACTGCAGCAAGAGTTCGATCCCAGGCCAGGGAGCTACCCACATGGCGCAGCAGACCTCTCCTGACTCGCCCGCTGCTCCCCTCAGCAGTGTATTTCAGTCAGGCTGCCTGTTCTACTCCCCGCTCTGTCTCTGGTGGGTCCTCTCACCCCCACACCTCTGGCCTGTACCCCAGTTCTTGTATGCATGAATAAATACATCTTTAAAAAAAAACCAAAAACCTCACCAAACAACCAGCGACCACAGGTCATGGTGCCATAATTTCTGTTTTATTTATTAACATTTATCAGATGTTCCAGAGCACTCCCTTACCTCCTCTCTGCCAAATCAGGTGCCCTCTGGCCTAGGTCAACAGCCTGAGAGCTCATCAAAGGAAGTGCACCTTCCGCCCAGCCAGGGAAGGGGAGCCTGGAGGCAGGAAGGGCCTAGCTCGTGGGTGGGAGGGTAGTGTATATCTCTGAGGGCTGACTTGCTGCCCTCCCCATTCCTGAGATGCCCCAGCCCAGGAAGGGCCTAGAAACAAGACTTCTTGTCATTTCTCCTCAGGCCTGAAGAATCGGCCAAGCTGGTCCTTGCTGTGCTTTCTCATCCGGGTAGGACCATAAATCAGGCTGGAAGAATCCCTCAAGTCAAGCTTTTGTTGCCACGCTCACCAGTGTTAACATGCAGAGACCCCGCTCAGCCTGTGCACATCGTGCGAGTCCTTTCAGCCACCACAGGCGCGTCACGGCCGTCTGCGTGAATGGTCCCACAGGTGAAACAAGCTGCTGAAGAGGGCATTTTCCCAGGGCCGGGCCGGCTGTGGCCTCACCCAGACTCTGGCCCAAGTGGACTCGTTAAATCAAAGACACTGCGCAAGAGGCAAGACCTCCCATCCAGCTCCTGGGCCCCTTGGCCCCACGGCAGGAGCCCACGAGCCGGCTCACTGGTTATTCCGCTGGAGCGCCTCACACAGGTTCTGGTTGGCATCGGGCTCCTCTGTCAGCACCTCCACAGTCTCCCACTCCCCAGATCGGCTCGACCTTTTGATGGCATCCACCACGCTCTGCATGTACAGCCCGTCCTCGAACGAGGCGGCCATGGAGACAGGGGTGTGGTCCCACGTGCGGCGGTCCCCCTGCCCCTGGAAGGACTGGCGCAGGGCCTGCACCATGTAGACCATGCCCTTCAGGTAGAGCAGCGGCACGTCCTGCAGCCCCTGCTCGGGCAACCCTGTGTCCATGGCCAGCGAGTCCCTCAGCAGCAGCTCCTCTTGCGTGGCGGAGTTCTTTTGCCCATAGAGGTCAGCTCCCCTGGCTACCAGGCGTCCCGCGGAGCCCACCACCATGACCTCGTGCACAAAGGCGCCCGGCATGTTGAAGTTGAGTGTTACTGTGCTGCACACCCCCCCGCCCATGAGCATCTGGAAGAAACAGAAGTCATCGCTGGTGACGTGCCGGATGCCCCGGATGGCCGCATTCTGCCTCACGAAGGTCTTGAGCAGCCCGTGCACCTTCTCTGCTCTCCGGCCAGTCAGGTGGGTCAG